GAGTGTTAACACTCAAAACTTGAGTGATTTTTCCGCAAGGGTTGCACCGCACTGAACAGTTGCGCAACACGTTTCAATATAAATATCTTATTCAATTTAAACTATCCATACTTCATTAAACCGTAACAATAATGTTGCCTATCAAGAATTTGTCACAAGTGTTCATAATCGTAATAATGTTTTTCTGATTCAATCTTGAAGCAAATATCTCCTTCTGTTGGTAGTCGAAACATAAAAAGAGCATTAAAGAGATCAAGTTATAATTGCATGGTGTGCCGTATATAACGTTGAAGTTATAACATTACAATATGATCGAGATTCGACGCTCGTTTAATATCTACGAGTTTGAACTTCTTCGATAGCGAGAAAAGTGTCTTACGTATATGTAACATTGAAAATTCTATCGATACGTGCATTTACGAAACTTCGAACGATTATTATTACTCTGCGGAAACTAGTCTCAATTTTAAAGAAACTTTGATAACGCTTCGTCTTCTTATCCGATTTTGGAAGACTTTAGAGATCGGGCTTTAACTCGAAAGTCTCGTCGAGCTATGTAACGATTAATCCTTTACGATTTTCGTGACAAATGATGTAATGTGTAGGAAAGTAATTTCCCAGTTTGATTCTCGGTGTCAAAATTTCGCTCAGTTTTACACGCAGCAACCTTTCTCTATTGTAAATTACGGGGACTTTAGGTGGGACAAATATCGTTATCCAATATCACGAGAAATACAATCCGCGGTATAACGCGGCCTTGTACTCCGGTGTACATAACGCGATTGATGTTGATTGGTACTACGAAACAATAATGATGTGTATTATAGTATGATATAGTTGTGTGTTGGTGAAAGTTTCCTGCTGTGATTAACCCCACGGGTGGATTGGCCGCCCGATAAATTACCCATTACGTTAATTTCACTATTTTCATTTCTGATTGGTAATAGAACGAATTTCGTGTAATTACAAGCAGCGCGGTGATCGATGATTGTATTCGCTTTATTATTTTATTTCGGACTTTATTCTTTTAGACTTTTATTCCCGTAATTGAAATCACTTATCAACGCTGATAAACTCGTGATAAAACATTATGGAGCAGTCGTACTTGTAAAATAAATAACGCCAATAAAATATCAAATGAGAAGAAACAATTGTACACTTTTTGCGAATCCGGACGAATGTGTATAATATGACTACGTCACCGTTATCAGCGCACGATCGTTGATAGCCTGTCCGTGCCTAATATCCATATACCATAATGGACGACATTTTGCTCAAGTCGCGTGCGATATTTGCATAATCATTCAAGTCTGCATTGGGTTTACGGAGCACGTGGTATAAATTAACTCGGAGCTGCTCTAAGAAAAAGGACTTTCTCGGTGTAAATGCATCCGATTATGGAGGGGAAACTGGTATGGCACGTATATGAAATTCTAGCTGAGATATCTGGATGCTCACGAAATATTCTCGTTCGCTCATTTCTTAAATAATATAAGTTGACTGGTTACTGTGAGATTTAGAATAATCACAGGATCTCGCAACACGTAACAAACGTAGTATCGAAACATTTTCGCGATAGTATATTGCTCATAATGAATTTTGCTACAATTTGTTTTACCTTTCATGACAGGACTTGCGATAGTTATTCAGCTCGACAAGAACGCTTGATGTTCTCGTTACAGCCTGCTTGTTCGTAGCGGAGTTCGATTACTTAGTGTCTAGCATGCTGTTACTCACATTACACTTGGATGAACGATTCTTTGATTAGCAATGTAACTTCGTGTATCACTGACGACTCGTACTAACCGCCCGGCTGGTTTGAACAGAATTAAGAATGCGCGCGACCATGGGAAATTCCTCTCGGTAGAAAATCTATTCCGCCTGTCTGTTTAACAATGATACAATGATCCTTGATCGAGCCAATCCTGCACATGGCACTGTGCGTTTGAAAGAAAAGCACAGAGCACTTCTCTAATGATTTGAAAATGAATGCAGTGGCAACAGAAAGGGTGTTACTTATACGAGATAGCATGAGCATGATAAGCGAGATTATTCATTTGGGTAATCAAATTCGGTTTTGTTCTGAGAATAGCGAGTCCCTAGAGTCCCTATGCACCTCGCTGGCAGCTCTCAGTACCGCACCGAAAGGACAAGGAATGTGGAGGGACAGGTACACCATATATCCTTTACGTTATCTTCCCTTTCCGAATCTGACAAGCAATTTTGCTTGGTAAATTTCGGATAATGATACGCAAAATGCAATTATTGTTAGCGACAATATTAATAACTCACAGATTTCATGTCGCCAGTAGTTAAAACCAAATGATATGTAATTTTTAAACGACCTACACTAGCCAATGGTTTTATTTAAAAAAAACAATTTTTTTAAATAAAAACATTGGCCAGGTTGTTTAAAATGGTGTAGGTCGTTTAAAAATTACACATCATTGACAATATTAATGATATCTAAAAAATGACGTCATGTTCTGCCTCTCGTGAACCTAAGCTCGGTTCCTTTAATTTATTACACTGAACATTTGATACAATATCGCTTGAAAAGGACCATGGTCGAAACGTTGTGAGTTATGAACATAAAAATTGCCAGACATGGTCAAGTTATCATTGAAGTCTTAAAAAAAAGGAAAGTTCCATTTAGAAATAATAGCGCAGTTATAGCAGTCTGTCCGAATAGGGACGAGAGGGCGTTAATTTGAGCATGCTGTAATACTTGAGAGAAAGAATCGTTCTTCCAACAAATTGTTAAATAGTAGAAAGTAGGAGGTTTCAACGTTTGCAACAGCTGCCGCTGGATGTTTTTCTCTCATACAATTAATTAGTTTAAGTTGAATTACTTGGCGCGGATTACGCGACGAAATCTGTTTCGCACTAATTAGCTGGATAACAATTTCGAAACTGGCGCGTTTCTCAGCCGGTGAAGAGATCCAAGTTGACTCGCACGGCCTCGCGTGCAATTGCGAGCGAGACCAGGTTCGAATTCAAACAGATTTCGGAGCGTCATTATTTTAAGTTCCTTCCGCGAGGTATGTCTTCTTTTCGCAGAGTGTGAGTGCGTTGCGTCTCTTTTTCTCTCTACTATAATACATAATTATTATTGTTACTTCTCGTTTCGTAGTCGTGTACAATAGAAAAGTGGCTTGCGTGTGATGAGTGCACTTTATGAAGTGATCAGCGACAATCATATTCATATCATCATCATCATCATCATCATCATTATCATTACCATCACGAACAGGAGCACATTTTACGAAAAAGCGAAACAAAACAGAAAAAAAAGAACAAGAAAGAAAGTATTCGGACACAGTAAAGTATCAGACGTGTCGTGCTGATTGTGACTTGACGAACGAAAATTCTGTAAAAATGTGCTGATACTAGCGATATATCATCTATTATGCCATCTCATCATCATGTTTATGAACGAATGAATACTAACGCGTGTTTTATTTTGTTCCCGATCCTCTCTGTTATTTTATTTGCGCTACTAGCAGAATTCCACAGTGGAGAAAGTAAGTGATCTTCTCTCATCAATCTTAGCTTCTGCAATTTGCCGTGTACATACATCACACCCCCTTTCGATTCTCTCTCGATTATTCTTCCTCCCGTCGTTACACACAGCCTGTATCTGTTGCGGCACAACCCCCTGTAGCTGACTCTTATTATTCTTAGAAACTTAGTATGTTGCTCAGCGAACGCAGCTCGTTCAACGCACAACACGTCGGAAATGTGATTTATATAAAATAAATTTAATCTCTCGGAGAACTGATAAAATTTCACACGAGAAACAACGCGCGACGAGTGAAACAGCAGTTGTAAAGTTATCTCGGTTTTTCCACGTTACTCGCGGCGCGGCGGTGAATTATTCAGTGGAAACGTACGTAAGCGCGTCGACGAATCCGTGTGGAATTTAAAATGAAAAAGAGGAACGAAGAAACAAATTAACTGCGGTTACTCTTTAATAACTGCGCACTCAAATGGCCGCATTAATCGACGCCGAGTGTCAATATCGCGGGAAACGTCCTTGTCGAGAGTTTACGTTCGCTGTGCATTGCACAATTCTCCTGTGAATGCTTCACGGGCGAATCAGTGGGTCTCTCAGCGCCGGCATCAGCTACAGTATGCAGGCTAGTTGAGAGCAGCTGAATGGAACCAATTTGTTTTGAATCGAGTTAGATGACACTTTCGTTGCCTTCAATGTCGGTAGTTTGGCGCTTGCGACTATATCACATCCATCCGACAGACGCCTCACGTAGGAATACCCATAGATTAGACCAGCATTCTGCGCTTCGAAGAAAGAAAGCCTTAACTCCGGAAATAATGCGGTCAAATAAATGCTGAGTTTGATCGTCCTGAGAAATTTTCATTTCTTCTCTCTAAAAGTCAACCGGTGGATTATCACTGAAAACGGTGAATAGTCACTGTTTTCAACGCTGGTTCACCGATTGGTTTTTAGAGAGTGGAGTTAAGCCTTTCCTTCTTAGGAGAACGGTATACGTAGCCGTTTTATTTATCTCTTATTTTGCCACATATTCACACGCACATATACTCTCCAAAAGTCAGGCAGTGCACCATCACTGAAAACAGTTATAAGTATAGCACTGCTTTCGGTGATAATCCACTGATTGGCTTTTAGAGAGTACACACACCTCGTGCAATTTGTTGTCATCTAGTAGAAGTATCCACGCAGATTCGACCTGTATAGATAGCTGTTTTATTTATCTCTTATTTTGCCGTACACCTCATTGCCGTATAATCTTATCCACATTACATCGAGCTAAATTACATTTACGCACAACAATTAAGTGTCGATGGAGCGTAGTACGAACTATCTCATTGTCACCGTAGAGAAGACACAGCTGATAATATCACAGTGTTAACGCGCTCGTAGCGCATTGTCTCTAAATGTTAACAATAATCTCATGAGATCGCCATAATCTCCGACTCGCGGATATATCACGCTTATAGTACAACTTCTCGAGAATTATGCTTTCCAGCTTTGCGCACTTTTCGTTGATTCGCGAATCAACGCGAACTACACAGTGCATTGTGACTGACATTAATGTTAGAATTATATCACGCATATAAGTGGTATATCATTTTTAATTTTTTTACCATGGTATTATTTCATTGCGATTTCTGTGAAATTTTGGTCGTTGCTATAACAATTAAAAATCATACTGTTTGATTTTTCTTATTATGTCGTCTACTGCGGGATGTTTCAGAATGCACACGATGTGCGACAGACTCATTCTATTTTTGTACGGAGCTTCACGTAAATTTCTGTAAACTACCTGATTTCGGCTACTTGATAAACTATTTGGTAGTTCGATGAAACGATTTCACGCGCATGTTTGATGAAAATAATGTCGAGAACACACGTATTTTGGGTACATAAAATAGACCTTGACTGTGCATCTCTTATAAGCAGCCTTCACATAATGCAATTTTTTTATTGCAATTTTTTATATCCCGGACAATTCCACGCGAGACGTGTCGTAAGCCCGAAAGTAACGCGTCCTCAAAAATCTCCTCAGCTTCCTGGTTTCCTTCTTGGTGGACGCGAGGGGCGGTGCGATGCGCGGATGCAGGCACAGCGGCGTCCGCGTGATTGTTCCACCGCGTAAGGCCGCGATGCCTATGCGCGTCACGTGCAGATATTTGAGGAGAGAAAAATTGACCAACCCGCCACCCTTGATGGAGGGAGAAGCGTTAGCCAGCCGCATCCTCGAATTGGGTCCTGTGGGTGCGAAATTCCTGGGGTACGTTCCTCGGACATCTTTTACAATTTTGTTTTTCCATTCCGATCTGCAGAGCTTACTGCGTATTTTCGAATTAACGATAAATGTAAATTGAAGACAGTTACTTCTGGCGACAGAATCCTCCTTAAACGTTAATTTTGTGTGTGTGTAGCCCTGTTATCATCGAGGTGCCACATTTTGCGTCGCTACGCGGAAAGGAACGGGAAATAGTGATTCTACGATCGGACAACGGGGAGACTTGGCGCGAGCACACCTTGGAAGCTAGCGAGGAGGCTGTCCAGGATGTGCTTAACGAGAGCTTTGAGGGTGAAGGTATGATTCGTGCAAGCTTCTCTTTCGCGATTCTCGAATGACGCGGCAGACACTGAGCTGATATTACCTTTCCAGAGCTAAGCCAGCTAGAAGATCTCCAGACGTCTCGTATCGTGAGGATACTCACTGTAGATTTCCCACATTACTTCGCGGTGGTAACTCGTATCCGGCAGGAGGTCCACGCGGTTGGCCCCGAAGGCGGCACCGTGTCGTCGTCCGCTGTACCACAAGTACAAGCTGTCTTCCCGCAAGCGGCCCTTACTAAAAAAATCAGAGTCGGTCTGCAGGTATTTGTCCGTTTCCTTTCGTCGATTGAATATGTTATATTTATTAACTCATCTGCATCATTAGCATTTAGATTCGATTACTCACGACAGGAATTGCTCATTTAAATCTCGTAAAAATTCTTAATCGTCTACGCCTCCATAAATTAAGAGATTGAAAGTAGATATCTTCGATACAAAAAGTAAAAATAAATAATTTATAATATTATATATAATATAATATTCTTCGGAGGCACATCTTTCCACGAGTTTATTGTACTCACTAAAGTTATTGTTGCATACAGGCGCATCCTATACCGGCGGATCTCGTGGCGAAGTTACTCGGAAACAGAGTAGCCGTGTCGCCCATCGTTACCGTCGAGCCGAGACGAAGGAAGTTCCACAAGCCGATAACTTTAACTATTCCAGTACCACAGGCGGCCAATAAAGGCATGATCAATCAGTATTCCGGAGACGCGCCGACTCTGAGACTGCTGTGCAGCATAACTGGTAATATATGCTTGCACGTAACATTGTAGAGCAGCGTACCGTCTTACTGGAGAATCTCTTACCGATAAACTGCTGAAATTAATATTGTACGCCGCATATACTTTGGCGTACACATGTATACGCTCTTGCCAAACTTACGTTATTGCGCATTCGGGTATCGGTTTATTGTAGTTTAGCAGGCATGAACGCAGTCGGTAGACTATCTCGTTTGTTCTCAGGTTGCTCGGGACTGCGAACCAAGTATCGTACGTTGCACGATAAGATTGCTTAAATGGTAGCAGCACTTTTGCAATTTGTCTATGTTTAGTATGGTAAACAGTCTGTACGATTCGTAACTTGCACCAACGTGTAAAGATGCTCCGGAGTGAAAGTTTCACTCAAGACGGAGAAAGTCGATTTGTGTATGTGAATGTTGGGAGACGTGTCATATGTTTTGTCCTAAACGATTTTTTTTGGTCGTCTATCGTATTTTCGAGAAATGTCCCGAGGACCTTCGGATAGAGATTTAAAAGGGAGATGGTAGCTGCATGTTTCATAGAAACATTTTGTTGAGTATCTCATTACTGTATACATATCTTGTTGTGATTCATTGTTAATGCTTGCATATTGTTAGGATTGAGTCATTTAGGTATGGATTATCAATTAAAGTAGATAACATTTTACTATATATACCTAGCCCAATGTTAAGAGTTAACTTTCAAGTTTTTGTTTCAGCACATTCGTTTGTCTGGTAATCGCATTATTAGTGATTTATATAAAATGTAAATTGTACCCATTATGTATGTGTATATACATATACATATGTATATATTTATATACACATTAGATTTTGTAATATCCTCTATAATACCCAATCATCTAATCTAGAAGATTTAATGTCATAACAATATTACAGACAATATTACACTGAATACTATCACATTTAAGTTTGTTTTACTTACAAACTGTTGAAAATATTTTAAATATCACGGTATTTCTATTAATATTCCTAAATCATTTCGAGAAATAAGATATAATTGTGTCTGTCTTCTTATCTTTCTTTTCATTTAATGTTGTTACTTTAATCACTTTTTTCCATACAAACACCTTGATTAATATTTTGTAATATTATTTTCTCTACTTGTCACTGAATTATTATCTGAAATCCATACACCTACGATTGCTTTCTACACATTTCACATATAACGCTTCCTCTTAATTTTGCAAGCATTATCATTCGGTCAGCCATGTACAACTTTATATTACACTCACACATTGATAAAAAGCACTTGACAACAACGCACTTACAGCGACCGTTTTTAAATGCAAAATTTCCCCGGGCTGATAATTATCGATTATTAATATATCCAGCATTATTTTTACTCGCAGGCACTGATTCGTATTCGAATTGTGAACCGCTCGTATTTAATATCGGTCGTGCGAAAATATATCACACATATTTCACTTTTGTCACCTGCGCATTTGCAACACGGACATATTTTAATAATGTTATTGGACTTGGCATGTATGTCGTTCAGGGGGTCAGACTCGGGCAGTCTGGGAGGATGTCACAGGCTCGACGCCGTTGACCTTTGTGAAAGATTGCGTCTCCTTCACCACCACAGTTTCCGCCCGCTTCTGGTTGATGGACTGCCGTAACGTTCTCGACGCCACAAAAATGGCCACGGATCTCTACACGCACGCAACACACGTGCCTTTCATGGCTAAGTACGTTTCGACTGATGTAACGTGACATATGGACTTTCAGTGATAAATTACACAGGTGCAAATTATACAGGAAACAACTATTTAATGCTTACTTTATGATAGGTTCGTAGTGTTTGCGAAACGGATAGATCCATTGGAAGCGAGACTGCGTGTGTTCTGTATGACGGACGACAAAGAGGACAAAACTTTGGAGCACCAGGAACATTTCACGGAAGTTGCAAAAAGTAGAGACGTTGAGGTAACTGTCGGCAATAGAAGTGCAGATTGCAAAGCGTTCAAAGCGTTCGTTAAATCTTACTTAATGCTGCAGGTTCTTGAAGGAAAACCGCAATATATGGAATTTTCGGGAAATCTCGTACCTGTTCTGAAAACTGGTGAACAGCTGGAGCTAGGGTTCAAAGGTTTCAAGGAAAATAGAGTTCCGTTCACGGCGAGAATAAAAGATCCGGATGCCGCGGATATGATGGGTCGAATCATGTTTATGGGCGAACCCAAGGTTCCGAGGGGTGAACTGCCGCAAACGCCAATATGCACGCTAAACATTTTGCTACCGGAAAAGATTTCCCCGGATACTGCGATCTCCGAGCTCGATTTATTGGAATTGTCGAAGAACTACAGTTTCCTACGCGATGGTGGAATAAGTACGTGAACAATAATATGTGATATAATAAAATGAAAATTAACTTTTCAATGACGTTTGTTACGTTTGTTACGTTTGTTACGTTTTCTAGTTTACGAAAAAACAAACGAATATTAACGAATTTTCAGGCAGACCAGATGCTATACACAGAGCGACTATCCGTTTAACAGACATCGCTAATCTATTGGATAAAGATTGGGAATCATTAGCGGAAGAGTTGAATATCCCATCCAACGACGTGGCCCTAATAAAACAAGAATACCCTGACAAACCTGCGCAACAGGCCGCTGCCATGTTCAAAATCTGGCAAAACAGTGGAAACAAAGCCACAGGTGAGTCCACAGGCATTACGCAATTTATTTATCTTTACATCACCGAACTAGCGTAGCGTATTAATTTTTGGTGAATGAGAATTGCGGTAGCTGTCTCGGTAACCTTTAAAAAACCAGTTTCCTAGCAAGGTCAATTAATTAGACACGCGCGCTATAGTTGAGTCAGGCGTGAGGAATCTCTCTTAGCAACGTAGATATGTGATGATCTCACTGAGCATTATTATGCCTGACATAAGTCTACACGCTTCGCGTTCCCTCTCCTTCCTTCCCGCTAATGGCATTGACTCGCACATAACTCGCGATGTTTCTGCAATCGGCAGAAATAACAAGCGGTCGTGATTCCGCAGTACGTGATCGGCAGCCGCGCAGTGAAAGTGATTAAAATCCAAGTGTTCTCCGCCGCTTTTTTATTTGTACCGGTTTGACAAATCGCCCAATTATTTGTATCGCTGAATCTATATTATCGAGATTATTTAATATCCCGACATTCCTACGATGGAGTAATACATTTTTTCAAGAGCACTGTTTCCTTAGATTTTAATTAATTCGATTCTAACGAAAAAAAATATAGAAAAAGAAAACGATGTTTATAACTTTATATCAGGAATACGAAAATCAGAATCATTACACGAGCGAGCTCCTGTTAATATTTCGAAGATACCCTTGCTTACGTCCACAATGTGCGATACATTCAGGTCTGTGCAAAATTAAAAAAAAACGAATGAGCATATTTATTGGCTATAAATTTAGACGATGCGAATATCGATAATATGTTGTTGCTTTTAAAACTTATTGACACTTGTATTATTCAAAATATATATAAAACAATTTCAAATATTAAATATATTACAATAAATATTTATAATATATTGAATTTACACTTTTATGTAAATTTTTCCTATTAATTGATTGAAATGTCACGCGTTATTCTGTATTTGTAGGAAACACATTGGAAAAGGCTCTGAATAAAATTGGACGAGAAGATATAGTGAATAAATGTATCTTCAATGTTGAGTTAGTGACTGACGACGTTGAAAAAGCTGTGGCGAGAGTCAGACTGGATCAGCCAGGATTTGATTCATTGAAGGAGGAATTGGGGCCATCGAGAAACACGTCACTTCGCCGTGATGCAACTATGGATCCTAAGATGGACCCTGATTACGAAGAGCCTGATAGAATGAAGGTGCGCATCTTATGCAAATCTAGAAGAATTTGCATGCATAATTGTAATGTAATTCCAATCAACATGTGACAAAACAAGAGATGCTATTTTGTCGCTTGACCTTATTCTTGTTATCTAGCGCACACTATTATTGAGTACAATTGAAGAAGATACAATCCGTCCACTTTATATCTCTTAATAGCTCTTTTATGTATGCTGCAACAGTCAAAAGGCTTATACATAACAGTATAATTTACTGAAATAACTACTTGTCTATGAGCGTGGGATTCTTATAATCACCGAGATAAAACGCAATTCTCTCTTTGTTCCAGGACTCTGAATCAATCGAGGATCTCAGTATCACACGCGATAAACGTGAGTATAACAACAATATCTATAACAAAGTTTAATCTTTTTTCACTACTCGCTCTTGCATTGCGTTTTAACATTACATATACAATTTGTAAGAAATAATTCAATATTATACTACATTTCCTTCCATTATACTACAATACATACTGCAATGAAAAATGTGACGTCACGGCTCACAATTCTACTGTGAATGAATGATGCACGCCACGCCACAACGCGTGTTTTAGTTATTATGTCAAATACACAGAAACGAACACACATTTTTATTCGTGCTTACCTAGAAAACGTATTAGTCAACGCTTTGCCGGGCAATCTTACTGCGGCCACGTATATCCGTTATATTCGTCATGCAACGTCTCACATCAGCTCGTGTTACCTCTGTGTCTCTTCGTTTACGCATTTTCTGCACTTCACAGCCAAAGAGCACATCACAATCACAAACGGCACTGTATTCAACGGAACCTCGACCCCCATCAAAGACAAATACGCGAGCGACGAGAAAGAGCTCGGCGACATGATGGCTGATTACCTTGAGCACAAATGCCACTCGACCGACACGATGAGCAAAAAGTCGCGCGACGAACTGGACGATCCGGAGAAAAAACGCCAGAAAGCGATCGCCGATGCCAACAAGATAGTCTCTGGTAAGTGAGCTTGAAAGCGATTAGAATGAATGGTGGGTTGAGGGGCCGTGCTTACTACTACTGGCAAAAAGAACCGGCAATCGTTAATCGAGTTTTAGCGGAGCTACGTCGCCAAATGCGGAACCACGCATTCTTACATACATATACTTAAAAATCAGCAGCATGATTGGATTAATGCTGCGGGCGCACGCTTGATCCTAAGGGGATCGACTTACTCGTATTAACCATCTGTCGACGAACTGCGTTTCGCCGGACTCGCTATAGACCTCGCTAGATCGGAGATCTACATTTTCCTTTAGTGACATCGTGTTCATAGTTATGAAATGTGCTCGCTTAAAAAGACTTTCGAGCAATGCACGAGATGTACAATTACTATTTCTCGAATAGCTTTATACATTTGTTTGCGCGTTTGGCATTACTGTCTTTTCTCTCAATGATACTATCGGTGAATCTTCTTATACCTTCTTATAGACGATTGTTTCCTTATTTTTTAAATAATACGTATCACCGTTATGCAATTATGTCGTAATGCACATGTAATTACTTATTTAATTACATCGGCGTATAGAAACTATATGCCAAGAACGTAGTTTTTAAGTAGATATACTTCAATGCTAATCTATCTATTTTGTACATTGAATTTTCACTTGTGACTTGTTATCGTCGTTTGTGAAGCAAGCTTTAATTTTTACGTAAGTATCCAATCAACAATGTGCACGATCTTATTTCAGCGAAACGTTGCGGTCGAATAAACACTAATACATGAATAAGGAATATTGTTATTGTTATTATGACATAATGATTCTGGACACGAGTCACGTCAATGCATAAATTTGTCTCAGCTTAATAAAGAACACAGTACGTTTTGCGGTGCGCAAATAACGTACGTGTGCACTAAACATTTGTCTCTCTGACACCGTCCACTCACAGGTTCTGGAAGCCAATGCGGATATCTTCGGAATTTTACCAGCTTGCTTTTATACTTTAATATATAACGGATTATTTTATCTCGGCCTATCTCAAGCAGCTATTACTTATATATTTATACAATAATTTTTATACCTCATTTAATCATCCCCACTAATATCCTTAATACTCCGCGAACACTTTTAGATTAATTTATTTCAGCAAGGTTTCGCTGCAATTATTTGGCGTTGCATGAATGGCCAATATGTGTGGCCCAATTGTGTGCGCGCACGGAGCAGCTGTCATTAGAAAAGATCACTAGACGTTGTCGCGTAGACCATTAGATTATCGTTCCGTTTGCCTCAGCTGATAGATTAAAAATTGCTAAAGTCTGCACTAATTGCAGTTGACTGTTGTTCCTGGTTTAAAACCGTAATCAAGAGTTCTTTGTGAAGCTGAATACACTACTGTTGTTCATATATTCTCTAACAGCTTCATTTTGGTATCTTCAGCGTTCATTTCATATAGTTAATGTTGTACTAATCGAAATACTATCACAGAGATACATTTATCAAAGTTGCAAGCTACTGAGAACGTTTCAATGCAATTTATTATAAAAGTCCAAGTACGTATGTATCGTTGCACCACGCATTAATTGTTGGTAGCAATTTGATGTTACTTCTCCTTCTTACTTCTTGAATCGCACACTTGCCTTGCGTATATGACGATGTAGTGAGAAGATGGCTGCTCCACAGCACATACACTCCACGCACAAAACCACACTACTACAGTCTAACCGCAGTTCAATCAAAAGAGCAATCAAAGAGCGAGCCAGCTTACACTAATGATGACGAAATTGACAATAAAATTGTGTTCCTTTATTTTGCTATCACGTATACAGATGCCTAAAATGTATTATACTTAATTAACAGGTGTAATAGCAGACGCTGAGAAAGAGAAGGGGAAGTTAGCGAAGGAAGGGTGGTCGGTGGTTTGTGATGATGACGCGCGGGACAGTAAAGAGGCGCGGGGTGCGTTAGGTCAAACTGTAATTAACGTTCACTTAGATCAAACGGCTGTCGAGCCGAAAGGTTTCGTTCCCAAATCGGAGGAAGTCCCTAGTATCGAGCCGCCGATGATTAAGCAGCGTCGCGGTGGGACGCCGGATCCCAAAGTTAGCACTTCGAAAACAGTAGTTTCCGTTAGTGGCGATCAGAAAGTAGGTCAGACGATAGTTACTAAAACTACACTAGTAAAACATACACCGACTAAGACCGTGACCACGAAAGAAACGGTAATCGTTTCCCCCGATAAAAAAGACGTTGTCAGTGAGAAGGAGAAACTGTCTAAGGAGGGTAAGGAAGTTGACGAAAAGTTAGCTCAGGGTGCGGATGTTACGCGAAAGACAGTAAAGGTAGAAACTGTAGTCCGAACTGATCAGAAGAAGCCAGACGCGAAAACTTCCGCGGACAAGGATAAAAATAAAGACAAGGAAAAGGATAAAGATACGAAGACTGTAAAAACATCGGCTTATGAGGATGTTTACAGCGTGCAGCATGCGGCAGACAGCACGGAAGAAAAATCAGACGAAGAGACGAAGAAAACGAAGGATAAAAGCGGCGGAATATTTGCGGGAATTTTCAAAGGCTCCAAATTGAAGAGAGGCAAGAAAGGTTCGAAGGATACGTCCTTTGACAGTGGCGATGAAGAGTCGAAGGCTGTTCTAACAAAAGTCTCAGAACAGCAGCCAGAACTTCCTTCTAGCGAAGTGACGGACTCGCATTTTGACAGCAGACTACCGGAAATCACAATCGCACCTAATGTGAGATTGGCTACCGCGGAATTTTTGGAGGATTCCAGACGAATCGCTGCGGGCATGCATGCACCTTACGAAGGTCTTGCCAAGCCAGCGGAGAAAGAAGACAAGAAAGCAGAGGCTGCCGAGAGTGACGATGACGGCAAAGACAAAACGGGCTTCTTCTCGAGTCTATTCAAGAGTAAATCTAAAAAGGACGAAGATGGATCCGTACCTGCTATTCACGTCGAGAAACCTAAAGAGAGTACAGAACAAATCGCGAAGAAAGAGAAGAAAAAGCTAGCAGCAATCGCGAAAGAAAACGAGGATCTGCTAGAACTACAAATGAAGGAAAAGGAAAAAGAGGCAGAAGCTTCTAAAATTGTTGAAGTGCCTAGTGTAATTGAAAAAGAAGCGGAGAAGACTACGAAGACCGGCGCAAAAATCATCGAAGTTACTAAAAGCAAACCAGATGAAAAGATCGTTGCGCCAAAGGATGAGCAGGCACCCAGTAAGGATGATGAAAAGGAAGAAGATCAAGTAAAGGAGAAGGGCGGCTTCTTTGGCATCTTCAGAAGTCCAAAGTCCAAGGACAAGAAACTCGCCAAATCGAAAGAAACGTCCCTCGACAGCGGCGATGAGGAAATCAGAGCCGTGACAGAGAAGCTTTTGGATGACACGCGAAAGGCTGCTGACATTAGCGCATTACCGATCGTGTACAAAAGCGATGATGCAAAAATTACTCCCAAAGAAGAAGTACGCACTTTCGTATCGAGCACTCATTACGATGCTGATACGCCTGCAGATAAAATCGGTAAATCTTACGATGTTGTTCAATCTACAATGAAAATCGAGAAGATTATACACGAAGAGGTAAACGGAAAAACGGATGTTGACAAAGAGAAAGTTCAAAAGGACCAGAAAAAGGACGCTGAAAAATCTGCTGCAGAGATAAAATCCGAGACGCCAGAGCCAAAAGCACCCGAAACAGAAAAAGAGTCAGGCGAAGATTTTAAAGAAAAAGGCGGCTTTTTTGGCATGTTTAAGAGCCCGAAATTGAAGAGTAAGAAGAGAAGTAGATCCCGAGAGCAGAGTTCTTCGAAGGAGACTTCTTTCGATAGCGGAGACGAGGAAGTTCGATTGGCAACGGCGAAACTTCTGGAAGATACGAGACAGATGGCGGAGAACCTCCAACAGCAACTTGGAGAAAAGATATCGGAGAGTGTTACCAAAACTCCGCCTATAGACGAGGAAATGAAAAAATCTATTATTCCTGAGAATGAAGTTGTCGAAAAGGAAAAAGGCGGCATTTTCGGTATATTTAGAAGTCCTAAGCAAGGAAGGAGTTCCAGATCGAGGAGTAGGTCTAAAGAGAAGACACCGTCACTCGAATTGCCGGACAGTAGCCACGACGAATTACGAGAAGCGACTGCAAAATTCCTGGAGGATTCACGGAATATGGCAAATATAATGAGCGAATTAGAGTCTAAAGATAAAGCTTCAACTGAAGCGAAAGATAAGGAAGACAAGTTGGCAACGGAGATAAAGAAAATTGAACAGAATATCGTAATTACAACAGAAGCCGATAAAGCCATCAAGGACGGTAAAGACGCTATAATCAAAAAGGTGGAGGAAAAAACACGTGACGTCGTCGACAGCGCTGAAGCTGCAAAAGACAAAGCAACTAAGGAAACAAAGAAGGCAAAAGAGAAAGGATCAGGCTTCCTATCGGGAATATTCAAAGGCGCGAAACACGCCGTGGAAGATGCTACAGACGACGTTAAAGAATTCTTGGATGAGACGAAGAAAGAAGCGGAAATGGAAGAAGAACGCATCAAAGAGAAAGCTACTGCGGAACAAAAAGATCTGAAAGACAAAAAAGATACTATCGTCAGTGGAGTGCAAGAAGCAGTAGATAAACCAAAAGATGCAAAGGATAAAAAAGTTGCTGTTGTAAAAGACAAAAAGGATAAAGTTGTCAAGCAAGTATCTAAAGATACGCAGGAAATTGTTGAGACCACGACAGGCACCGGTAAAAAAGTAGCAGCAGAAACGAAAAAAATTGGTGAACAAATAGAAGATACCGTAGCCGATGTAACACGAGCTGCTAAAGATACTAAAGATGCAGCAGAAAAAGAAATAAAGGAGGATACAAAGATAGTAAAAGAAAAACTGACTGCAGGTGCTGAGGTAGCCGCAGAAACTGTCGATGGCACAAAAGAAAAAGCTACAAAAGAAGCGAAGAAAGCTAAAGAAAAAACAACTGGTTTCTTTTCCGGCATTTTCAAAGGCGCAAAACACACTGTAGAAGATGCAACAGATGACGTTAAAGAATTTCTGGACGAGACGAAGAAAGAAGCTGAAATGGAAGAAGAACGTGCTAAAGAAAAGGCTGCTGCGGAACTGAAAGATCTGAAAGATAAAAAAGATGCAGTTGTTAGTGAAGTTCACGAAGCTCTAGATAAGGCGAAAGATACAAAAGACAAAACAGTCTCTGCAGTAAAAGATAAAAAGGATAAAGTTGTCAAGGAAGTATCCAAAGATGCGCATAAAGTTGCCGATACTACGAAAGCAGCTGGTGAGAAAGTAGCAGCAGAAACAAAGAAAATCGGCGAAAAGGTAGGAGACACCGCTGCAGACATTGCACAAGCTGCTAAAGATACGAAAGATGCAGCAGTGAAAGAGATAAAGGAAGATACAAAAATAGCAAAAGAAAAATTAGCAGCAGGCGCTGACGCAGCTGCGGAAGCTGTGGACGGTGCAAAGGATAAAGCATCGAAAGAAGCGAAAAAGGCTAAGGAGAAAACAGGTGGCTTCTTTTCCGGGATATTTAAAGGCGCGAAACACGCCGTAGAAGATGCAACAGACGACGTCAAAGAATTCTTGGATGAAACAAAGAAAACAGCTGAAATGGAAGAAGAACGTGCCAAGGAAAAGGCTGCTGCGGAACTGAAAGATCTGAAAGATAAAAAAGATGCAGTTGTTAGTGAAGTCCAAGAAGCTCTAGATAAGGCGAAAGATGCAAAAGACAAAACAGTCTCTGCAGTAAAAGACAAAAAGGATAAAGTTGCCGAGGAAATCTCCAAAGATGCGCAGAAAGTTGCCGACACTACAAAAGTCGCCGGTGAGAAAGTAGCAGAAGCAACAAAGAAAATCGGTGAAAAGATAGGAGATACTGCGGCAGACGTTGCACAAGCTGCTAAAGATACTAAAGATGCAACAGTTAAAGAGATAAAGGAAGATACAAAAATAGCGAAAGAAAAATTAGCGGCAGGTGCTGAAGCAGCTGCAGAAGCTGTAGATAGTGCAAAAGATAAAGCATCGAAAGAAGCGAAAAAAGCTAAGGAGAAAACAGGTGGCTTCTTTTCCGGGATATTTAAGGGTGCGAAGCACTCTGTAGAAGATGCGACAGACGACGTCAAAGAATTCTTGGATGAAACGAAGAAAGAAGCTGAAATGGAAGAAGAACGTGCCAAGGAAAAGGCTGCTGCCGAACTGAAAGATCTGAAAGACAAAAAAGATGCAGTTGTTAGTGAAGTTCAAGAAGCTCTAGATAAGGCGAAAGATGCAAAAGACAAAACAGTCTCTGCAGTAAAAGACACAAAGGATAGAACAGTCTCTGCAGTAAAAGACGCAAAGGATAAAATTGTCGAGGAAGTATCTAAAGATGCGCAGAAAGTTACCGACACCACAAAAGCCGCCGGTGAGAAAGTAGCAGAAAAAACAAAGAAAATCGGCGATAAGATAGGAGATACCGCGGCAGACGTTGCACAAGCTGCTAAAGATACTAAAGATGCAGCAGTGAAAGAGATAAAGGAAGATACAAAAATAGCAAAAGAAAAATTAGCAGCAGGCGCTGACGCAGCTGCGGAAGCTGTGGACGGTGCAAAGGATAAAGCATCGAAAGAAGCGAAAAAAGCTAAGGAGAAAACAGGTGGCTTCTTTTCCGGGATATTTAAGGGCGCGAAACACGCCGTAGAAGATGCGACAGACGACGTCAAAGAATTCTTGGATGAAACGAAGAAAGAAGCTGAAATGGAAGAAGAACGTGCCAAAGAAAAGGCTGTTGCGGAACTGAAAGATCTGAAAGATAAAAAAGATGCAGTTGTTAGTGAAGTTCAAGAAGCTCTAGATAAAGCGAAAGATGCGAAAGATAAAACAGTCTCTGCAGTAAAAGATAAAAAGGATAAAGTTGTCAAGCAAGTATCAAAAGATGCGCATAAAGTTGCCGATACTACGAAAGCAGCTGGTGAGAAAGTAGCAGCAGAAACTAAGAAAATTGGCGAAAAGGTAGGAGACACCGCTGGAGATATTGCACAAGCTGCTCAAGATACTAAAGATGCAGCAGTTAAAGAGATAAAGGAAGATACAAAAATAGCGAAAGAAAAATTAGCAGCAGGCGCTGACGCAGCTGCAGAAGCTGTGGACGATGCAAAGGATAAAGCGACGAAAGAAGCCAAAAAAGCTAAAGAGAAAACAACTGGTTTCTTCTCCGGAATTTTCAAAGGCGCGAAACACGCTGCTGAAGATGTATCCGACGTATCTGATGACGTAAAGAAATTTTTGGACGAGACCAGAAGAGGAGCTTCTTTAGAAAAGGAACGTGCTGAGGAAGAAGTTGCTGCTAGTCTTAAAGACCTAAAGGATACAAAAGACACAGTCGTAAGCGAAGTTCATCAAGTCACAGATGTAGCTCTCACTGATGTAAAAGAAGCCAAAGATAAAACCGTTTCCGCGGTAAAAGATAAGAAAGATAAAATTGTGAAAGAACTTTCGACGGATGCCCACAAAGTTGCTGATACAACAAAAGCAGCCGGCGAGAAAGTAGCAGCGGAAGCTAAGAAAGTCGGTGAGAAGATAGAAAAAACTACGATGGATATTGCACAAGCTGCTAAGGACACTAAAGATGCTGCGGTTAAAGAAATAAAAGAGGATACGAAATTAAGTAAAGAAAAACTAGCAGCAGGAGCCGATGCTGCTGCAGAAGCTGTGGATAGTACGAAAGATAAAGCGACGAAACAAGCAAAGAAAGCTAAGGAAAAAACAACTGGTTTCTTCTCTGGCATTTTCAAAGGAGCGAAGCACGCCGTAGAAGAAACGACTGAGGATGTTAAAGAATTTATGGATGAGACTAAGAAGGAAGCTGCGTTGGAAGAAGAACGTGCTAAAGAACAAATTGCTTCGGATCTAAAAGATCTGAAAGACAGAAAAGATACTGTCGTTGGTGAAGTTCAAGAAGCTGTAGATAAAGCTGTTGATAAAGTAAAAGATGTAAAGGATAAAACAGTGTCCGCAGTGAAAGACAAGAAAGATGGAATTGTCGAGGAAATTTCCAAAGATACACAGAAAGTTGCAGACACTACGAAAGCGGCCAGTGAAAAAGTAGCAGCAGAAACGAAGAAAGTCGGTGAAAAGATAGAAGACACCGCTGCAGACATTGCGCAAGCTGCCAAGGATACTAAAGATGTAGCAGTTAAAGAAGTGAAAAAGGACACGAAGAAAATAAAAGAGAAATTGACAGCAGATGCTAGTGCTGTTGCAGAAGCTGCGGAAGGTGCAAAAGATAAAGCAACAAAGGAAGCAAAGAAGGCGAAAGAAAAAACCAGTGGTTTTCTTTCTGGCATATTTAAAGGCGCGAAACACAGCGTAGACGATACAACTGACGATGTTAAAGAATTTTTGGATGAAACAAAAAGAGAAGCATCATTAGAAAAAGAAAGAATGAAAGAAGAAGGTGCCGCAGATCTTAAGGATTTGAAGGACAGAAAAGATGCTGTCGTTGCAGGAATTCAAGAAACCACAGATAAAGCTATCTCCGATGCAAAGAATGTGAAGGATAAAACAGTTGCTACTATAAAAGACAAAAAGGATAAAGTTGCCGAGGAAATCTCCAAAGATGCGCAGAAAGTTGCCGACACTACAAAAGCCGCCGGTGAGAAAGTAGCAGAAGCAACAAAGAAAATCGGTGAAAAGATAGGAGATACTGCGGCAGACGTTGCACAAGCTGCTAAAGATACTAAAGATGCAACAGTTAAGGAGATAAAGGAAGATACAATAATAGCGAAAGAAAAATTAGCAGCAGGAGCTGACGCGGCTGCAGAAGCTGTGGACGGTGCAAAGGATAAAGCATCGAAAGAAGCGAAAAAAGCTAAGGAGAAAACAGGTGGCTTCTTTTCCGGGATATTTAAGGGTGCAAAACACGCCGTAGAAGATACGACAGACGATGTCAAAGAATTCTTGGATGAAACGAAGAAAGAAGCTGAAATGGAAGAAGAGCGTGCCAAGGAAAAGGCTGCTGCGGAACTGAAAGATCTGAAAGACAAAAAAGATGCAGTTGTTAGTGAAGTACAAGAAGCTGTAGATAAAGCGAAAGATGCGAAAGATAAAACAGTCTCTGCAGTAAAAGATAAAAAGGATAAAGTTGTCATGCAAGTATCAAAAGATGCGCATAAAGTTGCCGATACTACGAAAGCAGCTGGTGAGAAAGTAGCAGCAGAAACAAAGAAAATCGGCGAAAAGGTAGGAGACACCGCTGCAGACATTGCACAAGCTGCTAAAGATACTAAAGATGCAGCAGTTAAAGAGATAAAGGAAGATACAAAAATAGCAAAAGAAAAATTAGTAGCAGGCGCTGACGCAGCTGCGGAAGCTGTGGACGGTGCAAAGGATAAAGCGACGAAAGAAGCGAAGAAAGCTAAAGAAAAAACAACTGGTTTCTTCTCCGGAATCTTCAAAGGCGCGAAACACGCCGTAGAGGATGCGACAGAAGACGTTAAAGAATTCTTGGATGAAACGAAGAAAGAAGCTGAACAGGAAGAAGAACGTATCAAAGAGAAAGCAGCTGCGGAACTAAAAGATCTGAAAGACAAAAAAGATACAGTCGTCAGTGAAGTACAGGAAACTGTAGATAAAGCGAAAGATACAAAAGATAAAGCAGCTTCTGCGGTAAAAGACAAAAAGGATAAAATTGTCAAGCAAGTGTCACAAGATGCACATAAAATTGCCGATACTACGAAAGCAGCTGGTGAGAAAGTAGTAGCAGAAACAAAGAAAATCGGCGAAAAGGTAGGAGACACCGCTGCAGACGTTGCACAAGCTGCTAAAGATACTAAAGATGCAGCAGTTAAAGAGATAAAGGAAGATACAAAAATAGCGAAAGAAAAATTAGCAGCAGGTGCCGACGCAGCCGCAGAAGCTGCGGACAGTGCTAAAGATAAAGCAACGAAAGAGGCGAAAAAGGCGAAAGAAAAAACAAGTGGTTTCTTTTCCGGTATATTCAAAGGTGCGAAACACACTGCAGAAGAGGTATCTGAAGATGTAAAGGAGCATGTAAGCGACACGAAAAAGGAAGCTGCTGATAAATTGGAGGAGATAAAACGGAAGAAGGACGATGCAGTACATGGTGCTAAGGATATCGCGGACAAAGCTATTGAGGATGCGAAAGATGCCAAGGATAAAACAGTTTCTTCTATGAGAGATACAAAAGATAAGCTGACAGATACGGCTGCCAAAGGTATAGACAAAGCTGCACATGATTTGAAAACAGCTCATGATGACGTAGTCACAAAGACCAAGGAAGTAGCTGAAAAAGTACAAACTTCCGTGGCAGATGTGGGACGTGATGCGAAGGATACTAAAGATGCAGTTATTGCGGAAGTAAAAGAAGATGCTAAAGTTATAAAGGAAAAGTTAACTGCCACAGCTGAATCTGTTTCAGATTCTGCAGAAGTTACTAAAGATAAGGCTAGTAAAGAAGCGAAAAAAGCTAAGGATAAGGCTAGTGGCTTTTTTTCGGGAATATTTAGAGGATCGAAACATTCCGTTGATAGCGCAGTGGATGATGTAAAAGAGTTCCTGGACGAAACGAGAAAGGAAGCAGCTTTAGAACAAGCACACGCTAAAGAGGCAGCGGAAGCTGAACTCAAAGATCTGAAACACAAGACTGACAGTATGGTTGCTGACACAAAAGAAGCAAAGGATCGTGTCACTGACAAAATAGGTGATCAAATCGAGAAGACCATTGACGCCACTAAAGCGACAGGCGAGAAAGTAATTACAGATACTAAGCACGTTGTTGATGATGTCACGCAAGGTGTTGCAGATGCTAAGGATAGCGTGGTGAAGGAAGTGAAAGAAGATGTACAAGCAGCAAAGGAGAAAATCAAAGCAAGCGGTGATACTATTCAAGAAAGTGCTGCGACTATGAAAGACAAAATAACTAAGGAATCAAAGAAAGCTAAGGAAAAAGGTAGCGGTTTCCTTTCAGGAATATTTAAGAGTGCAAAGCATGCTGCAGACGAAGTATCTGATGAGGTAAAAGAATTTGTAGACGAGACGAAGAAGGAAGCCGAAAAGGAAGAAGAACGTGTCAAAGAAAAGGCTGCTGCGGGACTAAAAGACATGAAAGACAAAAAAGATACTATCGTCAGTGAAGTTCAAGAAGCCGTAGATAAAGCAAAAGATACTAAGGATAAAACAGTCTCTGCAGTAAAAGATACAAAGGATAAAATGGTCGAGGAAGTGTCTAAAGATATGCAGAAAGTTGCAGACACCACGAAAGCCGCCGGTGAGAAAGTAGTACAAGAAACAAAGAAAATCGGCGAAAAAATAGACGATACCGCGACAGACGTTGCACAAGCTGTTAAAGATACTAAAGATGCAACAGTTAAAGAGGTAAAGAAAGATACAAAAATAGCAAAAGAAAAATTAGCAGCAGGTGCTGACGTAGCTGCAGAAGCTGTAGATAGTGTAAAAGATAAAGCATCAAAAGAAGCGAAGAAAGCTAAGGAGAAAACAGGTGGTTTCTTTTCCGGGATATTTAAGGGCGCAAAACACGCAGTAGAAGATACCACAGACGACGTTAAAGAATTCTTGGACGAAACGAAGAAAGAAGCTGAAATGGAAGAAGAACGTGTCAAAGAAAAAGCTGCTGCGGGGTTGAAAGATTTGAAAGACAAAAAAGATGCAGTTGTTAGTGAAGTTCAAGAAGTTGTAGATAAGACAAAAGATGTAAAAGATAAAACAGTTGCCGCTGTAAAAGACAAAAAGGATAAAGTTGTTGAGGCAATATCCAAAGATGCGCAGAAAGTTGCCGACACCACGAAAACCGCCGGTGAGAAAATAGCAGAGGAAACAAAGAAAATCGGTGAAAAGATAGGAGACACCGCTGCGGACGTTGCACAAGCTGCTAGAGATACTAAAGATGCAGCAGTTAAAGAAGTAGAAGACGATACAAAATTAGTGAAAGAGAAATTGATTGCAGGTGTTGATGCTGCTTCAGAAGCTGCAGACAGTGCAAAGGAAAAAACGACAAAGGAAGCGAAGAAAGCTAAAGAGAAAACAACTGGTTTCTTCTCTGGCATCTTCAAAGGTACGAAACATGCTGTAGAAGATGCGACAGACGATGTTAAAGAATTCTTGGATGAGACAAAGAAAGAAGCTGAAAAGGAAGAAAAACATGCCAAAGAGAAGGTCACTACAGGATTGAAGGATCTAAAGGATAAGAAGGATGCTATTACAACCGAAGTTCAAGAAAGTGCTGACCAAGCCATTGCTGATGTGAAAGATGCGAAAGATAAAACAATTTCTGCTGTCAAAGATAAAAAGGATAAAATTGAAGAGAAGGTTTCGAAGGATGCTGAGAAAGTTGCCGATATGACGAAAGCTGTAGGTGAAAAAGTAGAAGCAGAAACAAAGAAAGTCGGTGAAAAGATAGAAGAGATTGCGCAGGCTGCTAAAGGCACTAAAGATGCAGCGGTTAAAGAAGTGAAGGAGGATACAAAAAAAGTTAAAGAAAAATTAGCTGCAAGTGCTGATGCCGTTGCGGAAGGTGCGGATGGCATAAAAGATAAAGCCACAAAAGAAGCTAAAAAAGCAAAGGAAAAGACAGGTCGTTTCTTTTCTGGCATATTTAAAGGGGGAAAGCACGCCGTAGAAGACACAACTGATGACGTTAAGAAATTTTTGGAAGAAGCAAAACGAGAAGCTTCATTAGAAAAGGAACGTGCTGCGGAAGAAGTTGCCACAGGTCTCAAAGATTTGAAGGATAAGCAAGACGCTATTGTTACTGGAGTTCAAGAGGCCGCAGACAAAGCTATCACCGATGTGAAAGATGCAAAGGATAAAACAATTTCTGCAATGAAAGACAAGAAAGATAAAATTGTGGAAAAAGTATCAAAAGATGCTCAGAAAGTTGCTGACACAACAAAAGCAGCTGATGAGAAAGTAGCAGCGGAAATAAAAAAAGTTGGTGAAAAGATAGAAGAAACCACGGCGGATGTTGTGCAAGCTGTCAAGGACACTAAAGATGTAGCAGTTAAAGAAGTGGAGGAAGATTCAAAATTAGTGAAAGAAAAATTGGCTGCAGCTGCCGAAACTACTGCAGAAACTGCAGACAGTGCAAAGGAAAAAGTGACGAAAGAAACAAAGAAAGTTAAAGATAAAACCACTGGCTTCTTTTCTGGTATCTTCAAAGGTGCGAAACACGCCGTAGAAGATGCAGCTGACGATGTTAAAGAGTTTATGGATGAGACTAAAAAGGAAGTTGCGCTGGAAGAAGAACGTATCAAGGAAAAAGCTGCTGCGAGTGTGAAAGACCTGAAAGACAAGAAAGATACTGTCGTCAGTGAAGTACAAGAAGCTGTAGATAAAGCGAAAGATGCAAAAGATCAAACAGTCTCTGTAATAAAAGATAAAAAGGATAAAGTTGTCAAGCAAGTATCAAAAGATGCTCATAAAGTTGCCGATACTACGAAAGCAGCTGGGGAGAAAGTAACAGCAGAAACAAAGAAGATTGGTGAAAAAATAGGAGATACCGCGGCAGAAGTTGCACAAGCTGCCAAAGATACTAAAGATGCAGCAGTTAAAGAGATAAAGGATGATACAAAAATAGCGAAAGAAAAATTAGCTTCAGGTGCTGATGCTGCTGCAGAATCTATCGATAGTGCAAAGGAAAAAGCAACGAAAGAAACGAAGAAAGCTAAAGAAAAGACAGCTGGTTTCTTCTCAGGTATCTTCAAAGGTGCGAAACACGCTGCGGAAGATGTATCCGATGACGTCAAGGGATTTTTGGATGACACGAAAAGAGAAGCTTCTTTAGAAAAGGAACGTGCTAAGGAAGAAGTTGCCGCAGATCTCAAGGATTTAAAGGATAGAAAAGATGCTGTCGTTACAGGAATTCAAGAAGCTACAGAGAAAGCTATTTCCGATGCAAAAGATGCGAAGGATAAAACAGTCGCTGCCATGAAGGACAAGAAAGATAAAATTGTAGAGGAAGTTTCTAAAGATGCGCAGAAGATTGCTGACACCACGAAAGCAGCCGGCGAGAAAGTAGTAACGGAAACGAAGAAGGTCGGTGAGAAGATAGAAGAAACCACGACGGATATTGCGCAAGCTGCTAGGGACACTAAAGATGCAGCGGTTAAAGAGACAAAGGAAGACACAAAATTAGTGAAAGAACAATTGGCAGCAGGAGCTGATGCTGCGGCAGAAGCTGTGGATAGTACAAAAGATAAAGCGACAAAACAAGCAAAGAAAGCTAAGGAAAAAACAACTGGTTTCTTCTCCGGAATCTTCAAAGGTGCGAAACACGCTGTAGAAGACGCATCAGATGATGTTAAAGAATTTCTAGATGAAACAAAACATGATGCAGAGTTGGAAAAAGTCCGCGCTAAAGAAGCAGCAGCTGCCGGATTGAAGGAATTGGAGCATAAGAAGGATGCTGTTGTCAGCGGCGTAAAAGACACAGCAGATCGAGCTGTCACTGAAGTAAAAGATGCCAAGGATAGGACTGTCGCCACAGCGAAAGATACCAAAGAAAAAATAACTGAGAAAGTTTCGGAAGACGTTCAGAAAGCTGCTGATGCTGGCGAAGCTGCTAAGGACAAAGTAGCATCAGAGATGAAGAAAGTTGGTGAAAAATTGGATACAACAGCACAAGATGTTGCGCACGGAGTTTCACATGCAAAAGATGCAACCATTAAAGAAGTTAAAGATGATGTAAAAATGGTGAAAGAAAAAGTGACTGCTGGAGTTGAAGCTGTGACTGAAAGTGCTGAGACTGTTAAGGAAAAAGCGGTCAAAGGTGCAAAGAAAACAAAGGAGAAAGGATCTGGTTTTCTGTCTGGCATATTTAAAGGCGCCAAGCATTCTGTGGAAAGCGCAACAGATGATGTCAAAGAGTTTCTAGATGAAACGAAACGCGAGGCAGAACTGGAAGAAGCTCGTGCTAAGGAAGCAGCAACGGCTGGATTGAAGGAATTAGAACATAAAAAGGATGCGGTTGTTACTAGTGTAAAAGATACAACTGATCGTGTTGTTGCCGAAGTAAAAGATGCCAAGGATAAAACTGTTGCAGCAGCGAAAGATACGAAAGATAAAATAACTGAGAAAGTTTCGGAAGATATTCAGAAAGTTGCTGATGCGGGTGGAGTTGCTAAAGACAAAGTAACCTCAGAAATGAAAGGAGCTGGAGAAAAACTGGATTCGACAGTGCGAGCTGTTACCCAAGGAGTTGCAGATACCAAAGATGCAGTTGTTAAGGAAGTACAGGATGACACAAAAAAAGTGAAAGAGAAATTGGCAGCGGGAGTCGAAACCGTGACCGATGGGGCTGATGCCGCGAAAGATAAGACAACTAAAGAAGTTAAAAAAGCTAAGGAAAAGGGATCTGGTTTTCTATCGGGTATATTTAAAGGTACAAAACACGCTGTAGATGATGTCACTGACGACGTCAAAGAATTTTTGGATGAAACGAAAAAGGAAGCTTTATTAGAACAAGACCATGCCAAAGAAAAAGCAGCCGCGGGTCTCAAAGACTTGAAAGACAAGAAAGACGCTACAGTCACCGGAGTCCAGGAAGTTATAGATAAAACTATAGCTGACGTGAAAGATGCAAAGGATAAAACAGTTTCTGCCATAAAAGATCAAAAGGATAAAATTACTGATGACGCTTCCAAAGATGCTCAAAAGATTACTGACACCACGAAAGCAACTGGTAAAAAATTCGTATCGGAGACAAAGAAGATTGGCGAAAAAATAGAAACAACCGCGGTAGATGTTGCGCAAGATATTAAAGATGATAAAGATAAGGTGGTTAAAAGTGCGAAAAAAGCTAAAGAAAAGGGATCTGGTTTTCTATCGGGAATATTTAAAGGTGCCAAACATTCCGTTGAAAGCGCAACAGACGATGTTAAAGAGTTTCTAGATGAAACGAAACACGAGGCAGAACTGGAAGAAGCTCGTGCTAAAGAAGCAGTAGCGTCTGGATTGAAGGAATTAGAACATAAAAAAGATGCAGTTGTTACTGGTGTAAAAGATGCAACTGATCAAGTTGTTGCCGAAGTAAAAGATGCCAAGGATAAGACTGTTGCAGCAGCGAAAGATACGAAAGACAAAATAACTGAGAAAGTTTCAGAAGATATTCAGAAAGTTGCTGATGCAGGTAAAGCTGCTAAAGACAAAGTAACCTCAGAAATGAAAGAAGCTGGTGAAAAACTGGATTCTACTGCGCGAGTTGTTGCTCAAGGAGTTGCAGATACCAAAGATGTCGTTGTTAAGGAAGTACAGGATGATACGAAAAAGGTAAAAGAGAAATTGGCAGCGGGAGTCGAAACCGTGACCGATGATACTGGAGCAGCTAAGGCTAAGGCAACTAAAGAAGCAAAGAAAGCTAAAGAAAAGGGATCCGGTTTTCTCTCAGGAATTGTTAAAGGCGCAAAACACGCTGTCGGGAGTGCAAAGGACGATGTTAAGGAATTTCTGGACGAGACGAAATATGAGGCAAAATTGGAAGAAGCTCGTGCTAAAGAAACTACTGCGGCTAGTTTGAAGAAATTGGAACACAAGAAAGATGCTGTTGTCGATAGTGCAATGGACGTTAAGAAAGAATTGGCAGCTGATGTCAAGGAGGCTAAAGATAAAATTTCCGAGACAGTAGTTCAAGCAGCAGACACCACGAAGATCGCAGTTGATAAGCTGGCGACTGAAACGAAGAAAGTCGGTGAGAAAATAGAATCCAAAGCCACGGATATTACACATGGTATAAAGGATGCCAGAAGAAGTGTCGATAAAGAAATAAAAGAACACGCTGACGGCGCCAAAGCGGCCAAGGACAAACTTGTGAAAGACGCCAAACATGCGAAAGACCAGAGTTCAGATGTCCTGTCTGGAGCTATTCACGATGTGAAACAGACAGGAAAGAAAGTTTCTGACGATGTGAAGGACTTTCTGGAAACAACCAGGCAGGAAGCAGCTGCTGATGAAGCGCTTGCTAAAGAGGCCGCGGCGACAAGATTGAAAGAACTTGGACAAGCGAAGGGTAAAGCCGTTGGTGAGATTAAAACCGCTACAGATAAAACTGCAAAGAGCGCGAAGGACGTCAAAGAAAAGAGCCTTTCCAGCATAAAAGGTGCGAAGAGCAAAACGATCTCCACTGTAAAAGCAGCGGGAAGCAAGATAGGGCATAGTGTGTCGCAAGCTGGCGAGAAAGTTAAGTCCGCCGGTCAAGATGTGACGCAAAAGACTAAACGCACCAAAGACGCTGTTGTGGGCGAAGCGAAGGAAGACGCACGAGCGGTCAAAGGGAAGCTAGCAGTTGGCGCGGGTGCAGTCGCCAGTACAGCGGAGACTGCAAAGGACAAAACTGCGAAGGAAGCTACAAAGGTCAAGCAAAAAGCAGGCGGTTTTCTATCAGGCGTGGTGAAGACCGCCAAGCATGCGGTAGAAGACGTGACGGATGACATGAAGGAGTTCCTGGAAGAGACCAAGCAGGAGGCAACCGCGGAGGAAGCTCGCGCTAAGAGCGATCTCGCTCAAGCAAAAGATAAATCTAAATCGACAGCAGACGCGAAGACCAAATCTGTCGACGCCGTTAAAGCCGCAAGGAAGAGCGTCACTCCCCCGAAGGCGACAAAATTACCAGCGGACACAAAAACCGCGGATAAAGCTTCGCCTGTCACTAAGAGGACAGGCAAAGTTACAGAAACGTCAGTGGAAACGAAAAGAGCCGGTGATAGAGTAGGAACAAGACGCACAAGTGAGAGTCCTAAGGGGGTAGTCCGTAAGTCCGAGGTAGCTGGCAGGCCGGAAACGTCCGGTGGCGTCGAGCATTTAACCGAGACAGTTAGCGTTAAGAAAGTATCTCGCATTCCACAGAAAAAGGTTAGTCCGGGTAAGGAGGCGGCCGCGGACGATTCGAACAATTCGCGTAGAGTAGGGACAGTAGTAGAGACAGTAAGCAGGGTAGGGCACCCCGAGCCTCGCACACGGCACTCCGTCACCACAATCGTGACAAAGTCTGTGCGAACGACCCCACCGCCACCCAGTTCACTCGCCGAGTTCACTGACAGTAGAACCGAAGGTATCTTGCAATAATCTTGCGTTATATCCATATCTATATCTATATATTATATATTACATATACCAGCTGTGTGTAACATGATTAATGATTAAGTTGACGCTTCTCTGTAACTTCAGTTTTACTAGTTATTCTCGTGACATCAGAGAGCAAAAAAAAGAGATATATATATACATATTATATACATTCATGCACCTTCGTCATTCATTAATGAAACCTAACACTCTAATCTTTCAATCATTTCCAGTCCACTAATTCGTCGTTTTATGACCTGTAGAACCAATCGACAATATCTGAGACATTCATACTACCGCTTGTTCCTACTATAATTTTCTGCGTACTGTTTTGGATTTTCTTTATGTTTCCATGTGTATATCTAATGGGTATATTGTTAATCGAAATCGATTTTACACGAATAAGAGATGCGCTTCATTATATTTAAGATGAAATCCAAATCAGGAACGTTCATCATAATATGAAGATTCAAAGAGACATTTGGTCGATACCGAGAAGAACAAACGATATACCTATATGTACTACGTTTAATTATTTGCTACACTTATTTTCAGTTTAGTCTTAACAATGATTTTGTTAACACCCGTTTAATGCATGATTCCAGGTTTTTATGCTATTTTTTAAACGTCTCTCTTACCACGATGGATAATTTTCCTAGTACTACTTCTTGAACGTCGGAACCTTATTTTGTTGTCAACCGTTTCTCTTTTTTTCGTTTGTAGCGTATAACATATAGAGATCACGTGTTTACGATTATGCGGTAATTATGTCTCATTGAAATTAACAGGTATACCACAACTAGCGAAGCATGAACCGAGGTATGCCATGCAGAGAAAAAAAAACATCATCCATCATCTAATCTTTGTTGAATCACTGCTTTCAATGTCATACTTGCTGATTCTCGGTGTGAACTCAATTTTCTTTCTATGTGAACATTTCAGACGTGACCAAAGAGGCTGCACGACGGGCACAGAACCTGGCGGACCAGGCACTCACCTCGACGAAAGCAGGTAACGTAAAATCGACTCGAGTAAAATGTAAAAGAGTTCACGTACGCGGATCATCATCTCCGATCGAAGATCAGTAACGGTAGCGGACTCTGTTTTTTGGTGCCCTCATTTATATTTAGCTTTATCTTCCATAGTTAGCACCTGCCGACGCTTTCACACTAACTGATACTGTGCGCACGTCTCTTACTAAATAGTTACCGACCTCTTTTTCTTTATTTTGCCGAGAATTAGAGGTAGCTCATGTTCGCGAGATTGCGATAGCCTCTCGATCGCTCAGTCGAAAAGCCAATTTGTATATAGCAGATACTTGTCGAGTAGTTTAGTCAGTTGTACAGCGTGTCCAGTAAATTGTGATATCGCATCTTACCGGCGAGGAGGTGAAGAAAAAGAGTAGAAAATACATATATAGTTTAGATTTTACTTTTTTTTCAGTTAAATTGCGTGGCTTTGAAATAAATGATTTTAAATATTCTTAAAATAGGAGCAAATTCTCGAACGCTCTCGGCGTGTTTCTCTGCTTCCACAGTGGTACATTTTAGTAAGATTCAGGCGCCTCGACCAAACACCGTTTTTTAATGAGTGTACTCTCTTTCGTTTTCGATAAACAGACTAATCCTGGTTGCAATATTGATACTAACTAAACAATAAAACTAAATGCGGACAGAGCCGCGGTGCACGTGCACACGCATCACGCGCGAGGCGTATCTCTTCGGGATCGTCTCTCCCAGACCCCACGTGCGTGCATGCGTGCACCAGGCGCGAGTCTTTCGTTTATTAATGCGTAATGTGCGCATACACGAAGCAGACACGCTCCGAATCTTTCCGGTCCAACTTTGGCAGCTGGGCTAGAGTTGAAATTCTTAGTGTGTATCAATGTGCTTTATGTCCTTGTTCCTGTTCTTGTCCATGTCCTTTTGGATGGGTCAGGGCATGATTCGGCTGAGATTGATGGGACTGTAGAGAGGCATGCTACTTCTGCTCCATCAAAACAACCTGTTCCCGCCCCGCGTCACTCCACCACCAAGCCGTCTACTAAACCCGAGTTCCATCTGGAGCTCAGTGATGCCTCACGAACACGTAAAACGATCAAGCAGCCGCCCAAACCAACGCAGGAGGCCCAGTCACCGAGCAAGAGCAAGATACCCGTTAAAGTCGACACTCACGAGCCTAAATTGGGCGATGATCCCGTATCCGTCCCGTTAGAGTCCTCGGAAGACCGTATCACCGCTCCACAAGCAGTTTCGCGAACCATCAAATACACCAAAGAATACGCGGTTGGGGAGTTATCCAAAGAGACGGTGGAACAGAAGAGAAGAGTATCACCAAGCGATGCGATCCAGACGGTCAAAGCGGATGACCTGACTGAGACTACCATAAGCAGCAGAATAGAGATAACTCCCTCGGTAGAGCACATACAACGAACAACCACTACAATGGTGACCAGCGATCCGTCGATCGATCCTGGGAAACTAGAGGAGCTCTTGAAGACGGGCGGTATCGTAGAGACGGTGAGGACCGTGACTCTGACGTCGGACAATGATGTTTTGCAACCCGTAACGCGCGAGGAGGTTGTCAAGAGGGTAAGCCAGGTCGCTAGCGCGCTACCAAGTGAAATCTTCGATTTCGGCGACAAGGACTCTTCTAGCACTACGATAAGAACCGACAGATCAGAGTCCGATGGTGTCGTCCAAACGGTCACGACTGTACAGCGCATGACGACGGAGATGCCGGAGATCGAGAGAACCGAGAAGGTAGTGAGAACGGTAATCTCCAGCAGCGGCAGCGGCTACGGGGACGCGGAATCCGCTCTGAGAAGTCTCCAGGAGCAATTAACGAGATCCGAGATCGGGGAGACCGCCTCTTGGACAGCGGCGAACGAACAGTGGGAGGCGCAGTATTCCCAAGACACGTCGCCCGGTTCCGGGAACGGCGGCGGCGTTGACACATATGCCAGCAACAACAACAACAACAACAATAACAACAACAAGAACGATGGTAGTTCGAGGCACGATATGCACAGCGACACCGATAGTGACGGTTCGCCGCAACCTAGAAGAAGATCTCCGAGCAAGAGGCGTACGTTGGGCAGTTCCAGCGGGTCGGATGTAGCACTGCACGAAGGTGCGGAGCTGTCCCCGTTGGAGGACGACCAAGGTACCGCACTCTCACAGCTAACCTTCTGCATAAGCAATGTACATACCCCTTGAATTCTCCTCGCTAATCGGTTACCTCCCGGATTAGGTGAACGAACGAACCCGAAAAGAAAAGATATTATATATATATATCTGTATATAGATTACTACACGGTTGAGCTTTGGTGTTGAACCTTTTGGCATACCTTTGCACGCAACTCCCATGTAGTTTCCCGTACTTCCTGCTAGTTGCACGAAAGAGCACATTCGATGTTGGCGATTGTCCGATGAAAATAATTAACATTGGGTGATGGGATTTCATCAATGAAGATCATCTCTGGAACGATGAAGCTGGTCAATTCTTAAATTAAGATCACACGAATTCTAGAATTACAGACATCATAGATGTACAATGTTCCAGGGATGTACGATATAAATTGGAATTGAAACTTGAGACAGTCAGACGTCCTCTACTGAACATTTACAATTTGCATTTGACATTTCCTCTCGGTATAGTTCTGATGAAATTTGAGATATTCCGCAGTGCGTTAATAGTTATTAAAAAGAGACTGAAGAGATCTTTTCTTGAACTTGAATAATCGACATCACTATCGTCGTCATTTAAAACTTGGAACGTAATTTCTGTTAATTTTCGGTTGAGAGGACTTTTGACTTTTTACTGCTGCTTGAAACCTGAGGTTGTAAGAAGCAAAATGAGAATTGTATGCTTGGGAATTGCATGATCTGTGATGTTTTGAGTAAGAACCGTAATTGTCTTACTGCACACGATGGCGTCGTGCATACAGAAGGGTGATGACCCGCAAGAAAAAATAAAGCTTGTCAAATGCAGTCGTACAGGTCTGCATCAAGTCTGCGCGATATACTTCTCTCCGTGGGCGCGTTGCGAGGAATTGTGACATGTACGGTTAATGGTTAATCGATTAAGTGTTGCTTCTCGTTTGGGAAACGTTCGATGACGAAAACGTTGTTCTCTTACTTTTTTGTTTTTCCGTTGGTCTTGGCTGCAGGATGGATGGAGTCTTGCGATCAGGGGCTTCCTGGGACTAGCATACTTTCATTTGAGTCTCATTCGCGATCAGCCACGATCGAACGCATATCTATCACACGTCGTCGCGCTAATTGTGCTTTCGACGATGGAAAAAGTAAAAAGAAGGATTTAATCGCAAACAGTATCTTTGCGTCACTTTGTCAAAATGGCGCTGACGAAATAACAGAGGATTTGCAACAATCGAAAAGAAAGATCGTACAAAGATCATTACAAGCGTTTAAAGAAACCTTGACTGGGCATTCAGCGCACATACCTGGTCATTTAATGTTAGACGTTAAGTCAGTTCACAAAAGCTTTTTTCAAAAATTGCATGAGATTACTCTCATTGCTCACAAAATTCAGCTGAGATAGTTGAAATAAAATTTCGAGTGCGTCTTTCTCTTCTAATTTGACGCCATATTAAAATATCGATCAATATTTTGCAAACCGAAAGTTTAATTGTGAGTACATTGTTGAATAATGATAAAATTAATCTATTGTAATCTGATAAAATCATAACGGTAATCTCGACTTTGGCCTTCGAGACAGAACGTGGCTATCCTATTACTCTCGGCTTCTTCATACTAATCATATGGCGGTGGAGCCATCATTCAATCAGTCAGTCAGTCAATCAATCTATCGATTTATCGAAATTCACATGTTCAACGATAATTCATAGCAATGAATTTGATAATCTTTAAGTAGCAGAAACACACGATATGGTACAGTCGGTTTGCTCGGGCAATACGGTAGAACCGAAGACTAGGACGAAGACATCCGGTAGAGCCAGCTGCGCGCGTTGGATGAGCATAGCTGTCGCTGTGCTGGTACTTCTAGTAGCGCTTATACTTGCCCTGGAGCCACAAACATTTCAACGTGTCATCTATACCCTGTCTAACAATATCCCGAGGCAAGCCGGGTACGATTACCCTTCACATTATTTATTTTCTAGTAAAGTTTTATAATATTAAACCTCTTTTCAAAGTCAGGTCAAGCCTTTACGGCCATCAGGATAGAAATCTAAACTGCCAATCAGTATTGTTACTCGATATTATACCTTGTCTTCAAAAATGATACGTTTCACATTTTTCCTTGGCCGAACTTGAACTTTTACCTATGAAAACGATGTAAGCGGATTATTCCTACGAGCTTGCTTGTACATTTCTAAGCAAAGCTCCAGAAATTCCGACGTTATAATACACATCAAATGATTGCTTTCAACAAGTCACTTTTGAAGACAATTGTATATAAATAATTAATTGATAGATATCCTCGATTGTCAAGAATGATGCTTAGAGCTTGTATTATATTTACAAAGTATGCAATGTCCCAGCAAAATAATGTATAATACTTTGCAGACATATCGTATATGATGTTCGCGTGTGGTACTGAGATCGTTCACGTTTTTCAAATTATTTGCAATCGCAAGGGTTTCAAAACTGGTTTGTCCGCGTGATAATTTTTGAGAAGTTTTACTTCGGTCGAACGTCGGCGTAATCTGATCTTAATTGTCCTGGCAAACGGCGAGGAAGACTGACAGGAAATGCGCAACGAATGGTACTGACTTGACTAAAACTGAATTGCCTTCTGTCACACGTAGGATTGCTTTCCTGTACAGATACCAGTCACGTACGTGTGATAAGTCGCCATTTACCTCGAGAGGACAGGTAAATCCCCGCGACCAACGAACTTGTTCCGCAAGCTTTCTTTTTTCTAGAGTACGGCCTGCATGAGTATTTGACACTCCCTCCCCCCCGCATGATTGCATCTTTGCATCGTACGAACCTTAGTCTACGCCCGTAGTAGCTGTTTTATTTTTGCGCAGTGTCCCGCTGTTGGGACGCGACGATTTTCCCGTTCCGATCAATAGAAAGATATGTCTTCCGCCTAGTTGCACGTACCTTCGCCGTACCAAAAAAAGAGCTCCCACTCTCCTCTCTCTCTTTATCTTTTTCGTTCTCCATTTTCGTCTTCTCTTTCTTTCTTCCCCCCCTCTCTTTGTGTTTCTTTTTTGTTTTAGTTTCGAGCATCCTATAGATCACTATTACCCCTCTAGCTCTCTTCTGACAATAAGCAACTCAAGATAAAGCTAAAGTGTAGAGGGACCAATCGTGTTTTTTTAGTCACGTTAGGATTGTTAGGCGAATCGTCATGTAAGTAATTTCTAAGTGTATGTATATGTATCGTGCCTATACACGTGTGCGAGCACAAGGTGTGCAGCTTGCTTCGGATTCTGTCGATGTACGGATGAGTATACCACACGGCTACTTCCCAATCGGCACCAAACCAACTCTCTTTTCGCCGCGACGTGAAAGCGAGTTGCGTTGCACTGACAGACGTGCTGCGGCTTCTTAAACGAGTCCATCACCGAGTCCCCTCCCGATCCCGCAGAACTGCAAACGTACGTCGAAGGGCAATGCGAAAGGGAGTAAGAACCGATATAACTCCGGCGGAGTTTGGATCTCTCAGCACCATTTCGACGCATCGAAGGGCGGACTCCCCGGAATTACATCCGGTTTCAATCCCCGCGGGGATGGAGAACCGAGACAGAAAATACTCGTGTTTCCTCCTCGCGCCCCTCGAGCCTGTTCGTTCTTCTTGTCAGCGATCTGCTGATATCCGAGCTGTAGGCGCAACAATCATTTCGATAGCTAATATCCACGCATTGACTGCCGCGCGCTTGATTTTCAGTATCCTTCAACACTTGAGCTTTCTAATCCGTACAGTACACTTCCTATATCGACGTGCCAGATGTGAAGATCGGCTCAAGTAAAACGACTTGTCGTCGCTCCGAAGAACTCGAAATCTCCGCGAGGATGCACTAACGTCCTTTCCGCATCGGGAATTAATTAATATCACCGAAAAACCCGTAATAATACTCCAGCAATACCTGACCGTTCGTCTAACAATACTAACTAATGTAGTTAGTACGGACTCCTATGAAATGACTGCCAAGTCTCACGGAGCATTTTGTGCAAAACTACGGTCAAAACCAAAGGGCGGTAGACTCGCGCGTGGGAATCGTGATAACTTCTCTTTTCCGAGTTTAGACTCCGATAACATTCTTTGCCCAAGAAAGATGTATTTCGTCGCGCGCAATAGCGCGCTACGCAATATAAAAGTAAAGTCCTTTCTGACCTGTGTCTTCAGAGCTGTTGCTTCACTTCGGATGCCGCTGAGACCCCGAATCGGTAATTCATCTTTGCCACAGTACCGCATTTTCAGACTCACAGAATGTACATAATGTCCGGATATACTTGTCGAACTGTCGAGGAAACACCACTTTCAGTTTTTACCGTAGTATACTCTTCTGTTGTACCGAGAACGTTGAGTACCTATATCTCTTACGACTAACTGCTAAATGCTTTGTTCAGCGGCTTTTATCAGCGCTTCACACGAGCTCGCTGCGCGCAGCACAATCGTACTGAGAAGTATTCCGAATATTGCTCAGTCGCCGTACTTAATTAAATACAGATCAACAGTGCGTTTATCTCGTAAGCGCTGTCTTACAACGATGCTGTCTTCCTATGAAACGTAGCTGATTCTTCAAGCGACCCTAAATAGCAGAACAATCGCGCGCATATACGGTTCAAAGGATGACCGGCGAATCCTAAGTCGGTAAAATCAAAATTGACGTAGTGTCGATTCTTAATTTCATTGACTCTTCCATTCGCATCTTATAGAAGTCCTGTCGCGATTGGTATCGAAGGGCTGAAAACTGAATTGGTCAAACTGCTATTTAGGACTCCCAGTCAGTAACATGCAATCAACCATTTTATCTTCTCGTACATGAGGACGTACAGGGGAGATCGTCGTAGGATCGGCGAGGGAGCCTCTCGCGAAAGAGTGAGCCGGAGGACGCAGCGAAAAATCACCTCCTCGTCGATTGTACCACGATTTACCAGACTCCCCCGTGCAGATCGGTGATCGCTGTGCGACACGTTTAAATTTGCGCATCGAGACATAGGAATTCGGCCGAGTTTGAGATGACTTACAGCTTGTAGCACACGTGTAAAAGTAATTAGCATCACAGTACGAGAAAATGAGTAGTGGAACACAGTAAAAGTTGTACAACGAGCATAAGTCACGCGTGGCGTATAATATCCGCCGTGATCCACGTGCCGAGGAGGGAGATCACACGTGAGGAAAACGGTTGCATATAGTTTTGGCTAGTTGAGTGAAAATGCGTATTACATACATACAACTATATATATTATGTATCGTCAATTGTTTAGCGGTGTTGTAACTTTTTTTATATGTGTCTAGTCTTACCCCCTTGTTTTGGGCATGATGTAAAATTGAGAGATATATATATTTATATTTATATATCTTTAAACATATATATATATACATATATATACAATTCGTACTTATTCTCTCTGTGTAAAACACGCAGCAGCGAAATAGCGAAATCCGCCGCGTTTGCGAAGCGCACGAAGCAGGTGTTTGATTTGTTCTCGTTTGTTGTCGCAGAATCTGACTTTTTGCAACATAGCGAGCCATCCTTCATGGAAACGACAACGATCGAGGTGGATCCTGTCACGCAGGAAAGGTACATAACGAATTACAATCTTTTTTTTCCTCTTTTTTTTTTAAAATGTGTCAACGGCAAGGTACGTCGACTATTGTCTCCTATACAGTGATCAAGTTCACTTGCTTTGATCTCCTGATCGCGATGCCGTTCGCTTCGAGGATCATTTGAAGATTTTTCATCGCGCTGTGCAACGGGTCGCGGCGCGTCGAAAAATCGACAAAGTTTAAAGAGGCGTCGCGCATAGATAAACGTAATCTCGAGAGAATCGTCTTTTGCAGCTTAACGACGACCACACGAACGGAAACGAGGACGATATCGTCCGTGGCAGCCGGCGGCACGGACGACTTGCGGGAATCGATGCAGAAAATCATGGACACGTTCATGACGGAGGAGAAGAAGGATCATTAGAAGTAACGCACGCGTCTCCACCCTTCGATGAGAAGAGAGAAGAAGAAATCGATCCCCTCGTCGATTCTTGGATCCTTCACTGAGGGAGGCATCTCGATGGATCTCGGACTCGACTCGACGCGTCCTCGGGTGTCGAGCGACGAGTTCATATCCTTGCAGGATCCTCGACTTGTAGGACCGGAGATACGCTCCCTCGGAGTGCTGCCTCTTTTAAGCCACACAAAAGCATGCACGATGATTTACTATCACGCTCATGGCCTACGCTTCGAGTTTGCTTGCCTTTCCGTTCCGCTCGGTTGCCTTACCTCTTTACGTTCGTCGGAATCTCGCGATCGATGATGATGAAGATGATGACAATGTATCTGCGTATGTCGTTGCTAGTCCGACTAGCCGATCCGCGCTAGTCTTCACTATGCCAACCCGTCCATGTATATGCAACGCCTTTCTCGCGTTGTCTGAAGATATGATGCGAAATGGAAAGGAAGGAAAGTACCAGGCGGAGACGATGGGGTGTGCTGAGAAGGCAGAGACGCGATAAAGGCGAGAACGCGACAGATAAGATCGAACGAGCGATCTGCCGACATCGTCGGCGATCGTCTAGATAGTAAGATTCTCGCGAGAATAGCCCGTTTAAGCTTTAGGATGGTTATACATCTCTATCCGCGCAGTATATCGCTTGATAGATCGGCAATACATATGAATATAAATATATATTCTTCATTAACACTTTCGGCGATGGACAATTGACGAAGAAACACGGGAATAAGGGACTTTCTTGTTGTTACTCGACTCAAGTCGCAAGTTTAAGCACAATAAAAGAAAAAAGAAACGACGAGCCGCGAAAGATGCCGGACTATCGCGCGTACCGGCCGTGTTGATTTGATTAACAGTGAGAAATGTTTTTATGCATCGGAACACATAATGTATAAATTTAACTTGTTTAAAGGATATTTCCTAACAGTTTTTAATTGTATATATGATAATTTCTTAGCATATAACTTATATATAATATATATATACACATATATATATAAATGTACTATGGACACGATTGTAATAATTGTAAGACGCTAACAGGAGTATTTTATTTATATAGCGAGCCCTTGGATAAATGTTACACGCTCGTTAATTTGTAAGCTCGATACAATTATACTGTCGACGTTGTCATCTACGTGAACCAGTGTAAACTAAAATAGCAGCTAACGACACGCGACAATGTAGAGATTATGTTGTCTGAAATCCGGGCGATATGCGAATTCGTTTTAATATCTAAGCCGATGTTAGCTTTCAGTGTACGGCACAAGTTTAATGAGCGCCGGAGAGGAGGATGGAAAATCACTATAATATATAAATATATTTAAAAAAAAAAGCAAAATTTAAATAAGCTATTCTATTAATGTATAATATATTGAAAGATATAATGATTATGCTATCTGAAGTTTATAAATTATTATCTATAATGACTGTTATACTACGTTTAATAGACTTGCCTAGAGCCTATCTGACCTAAGGACCAAAGGCACAATCACACGCGCATCAAAATAAAATAATATGCTCCCATGTATTGTCGTATACATTTAGTATATAATCCAATATGAATACTGCGACGCTGGTACCTCAGCGCTATCAACGGTGTGGCGTGATTTATCTCACGAGGGGATATTTTATACTCATTGTACCTCTTTGCGCATATGAAACGCAGTTATACTGGCGATACGTTCTACGCTTGTATTGTTTTACGCTACCGACATACATAACAAGAAACGTATGTTCTACTGAACGCATGTAATATCGGCGTCACGTATTATCGTTGGAGCATTGACGTGCCAGTGCCGAGCCGATGCTTTATATCTCACATACTTTTGTACAAGTTAATTTTCATAGACAACGTAACACGTCAGGCAGTCAAACATATTCCCCCCCTATACTAATTACATGTCCCTCCTCAATGCTATAATGGCATTAAGCTATCATTACAATGGCATCGCATGGCGTCAAGGTATCAAAAAAAAAACGAGAGACTATAATTTACTATATACTATTGTGTGATAGACCTATCAGCGGCATAATAAATAAAATGTTGCATCAGAATTATAACGTCCTCTGCAAAATGGAAGAATAAGGAAGAAAGAAGGGACACCCATCTCACCTTTTCATTCAGATTTAGGCATCCGATAAATCAGCAGTCATCTATTTCTTTCCATACGCTTTTCTTTCGTTTAACGTTCTTGCTTTCAAATATTCTATTATTTAAAAAGAGAAAAAACTCTAGTGCATCTCGGACACGTGAACTGAACAAGATAATTTTACGTAAGTATACATATTACAAGCAATATTACAAACCGTAACGATACAAATTTTCGCTTTGTCGTAATTAATTACGTTACAGGGAAAATGTGCGGGGGAGGGGGGGGGAAAGTAGTAAGTCCTTTCCTCCGTTTACATACGCAATTTTATTTAACATGAAAAAAGTCCAAATTCACAATCAAATTATTGTTCCACTCAATTGTATAATCAACTAACATATTATTTCCCAGATTTTGTCACAGAGACAAAAATGATACAAATAGCTTGCACACTTCCGTCGTTGTTAATGACATTGTCGAAATGCAATACGTACACACTGTAGTCTCCTTTTGATACAACGAAGAATAATTATGTATTGAACCATTGCACGGATACGTACATAACAAAACGCATGTCCCAAGAATTATAGATATCTGACACGGCGTTATTTGTCGTACTGAATAGCTATATTACTACTAACAACGTGTTAACCGATCGAAGCTACATAATAAAACAACGCTAAGACAGAAAAATCACCGAGTGCTTGTCCTCACCCATTCGCTCGTTTATTTCGTAATTTATTAATTTAGCAATTCTTACATTAGTTATAGTAGTTCTAAAGTCTCATCCAAATCTGACAACTGTAAGTGTACGTTACCTCGTTTCTCGATGAATAATTTGTAGTAAGAAGAGTTTCAACATATACATAAAAAAAAAGAGCACTTACTGCGTGTTATACATAGCGACATTGTTTTTCGTTTAAATAACGTGTACGGGGTGTACTAAAACCACCGGATATCCTTTTAATCACAGATTCTTTAGAAAATTTCAAGAGGAAAATTCTAATACAAAAATGTCGAGGCTATAATAGTTTTTAAATATTAAGCGATAGGCTTGACATGTCGCTGTACCTGAGCGCGCGAAATCTCAGGCCTATCGCTTAATATAATAAAAACTATCATAGCCTCGACATTTTTGTATTAGAATTTTCGTCTTGATATTTCCTAAAGAATTTATGATTAATAGGATATCCGGTGGTTTTAGTATAACCTGTATGTGTATTTCACGAACTGGTAGATAATACATGTAATAAAAAGGAAATATACGAAAAAAACCGATCGTACGAAGATGGTACGCATACTGTTCCACGTACAGAGACGCAGATCGAGCTAACCTGGCTTGTACGTGTAATAATTTAACTCAATATGCTAAGCATCGTCCATAATTTCACTATTCGAAAAGAACGCATGTTCCTATAAAAATTTATAAATATCAAAAACGGCTACTCAAACTGGAACACGATGTTGCCCACAAACTGACGATTTATTTATAGATACATATAGGGAGATGAGAGCTACTCGACTCGCAGGGAAACTTCGACGTTGTATAATTGCATTTTGTAAAATGAACAGATGTCCCCATGCACTTTCTCGTGATGTACCTTTTTTATTATTATTATTACAATGCGGGTCATCAGATCTGTAAGAACAACGGTATATTATATTATTGCGTACATTGAAGAGAAAATTAAGCGGCGAAACTTGTTCAATGCCAGTATACGAAAAGTATAAGTATAGAAAAGCTCTAGAGAATGGAAGCACGAAATATAACAGCAGAAGTTTGGACATATTCAAAATTTCGAAAAAGCATAAAGAACTTACATTGTCAACATCGTCTTCATCATCATCGCTAATTTCATCACCAAATTCGATGTCTTCATCGAATCCATCTTCCACGAAGGTTACTGTGTCGTTGATACGCACTAAAGGAGAGAAAATTTCACGTTTAGGAAGGGCACGAAAGAGAAATTCTTCCGATTTTGTGCCGAAAATTTAAGTAAGTTACAAAATTACTTGTACACGGAAAAACAAAGTTGCGTCAACAAGATCGGTGTAACTGAAATAAAATCGTGGAAACAACATCAGTGTTGATAAACGAAAAGCATCAGACTGTCGTCTTAATAATCTGGATATTTAGTTGAATGCTTAAAATTAAAATCCACAGCAAATACAATTGAGTGAATTATTTACGTTTGTGGCAGGCCGTGACGTCAACGTTTAAATCAAGCAACTTCATTTCGCTCAATTCAACAGCGTTCTTTTTCCATGTACCTAAGGCGAGTTAAAAACCTAAACTCAGGGATGGACAAGTGGGCAGCGCTCACGGGCAATAGCTAAGCGTACTGGGGGAGATAGTGGGGAGAAAGTATCGGGCAATAGCGAGAAGAAAGTGTCAAGAAGTGAGAAGGAGCACAGAGCGTCACGCTTGAGTGTAGGTGTGGTGGGACGTTGGATCGGTGTGGGATGTAGCCAGCAGCTGGGCATTCGTGGGCGCCCGTGCCCGACATCAGCATTTTGTCCATCCCTAATCTAACCGCGCCTCGCAACCAGGTGTCTACAATGGAATGCCACTCACCAGTTTCTGGGAATTCGCCATAAGTCTTCAAGTTACGCGCTTCGTCGGACGTGTACTTGAGTATAACATCCGCCTTGGCGTCCTGGTAGTCTCGCAGCCCGATCAGTATGATATCACCCTGGTTAATCCACACCTTCTTCCGCAGCTTGCCCCGGATGTGGCACAGCCGTTTGACCCCGTCGAAGCACATGGCCTCTAGCCTACCGTTGCCGAGCATTTTCGTCACCTGGGCGTACTCTACGCAAGACAAAGCAACCGAGTGTGTGAGTCACCGACGCCTCGTGCCCGCGGCGAGCATTCTCCGCGTCTCGTCGGGTCCCTCTGCCCCTTTACCTTGTCCATCCTCCTTGAACACCAGCTCTCTCTTCTCCGTCTCGTTCTCGTTCTTTCCTCTTCTCCTATTCTTACCTCCCTTTCCTGCAAACAGAACAACGTGTGGCTCGCGACACAACGCTCTGAACGGGACGCGCGAGGGGGTCGAGGGCTCGAAACTCCGCTCGCCCCGAGGGCGAGCTTGATTTCGACACGCGAACTAGGTTAGCTGACTTAACCGCGTCGGCAGGGCAAATCGCGACGGCGGAAAAATTCGCGAGGACTCGAGGCGGGAAGGCGGCGCGGGACCGCAGCTCGTACCTACCCTTATTCTTTGGCATGATGCCCTAGCACTGCGTCCTCGAACGGGGAAAATACAAATAACACGACGAGAAGCGATCAAGCGCTGCAACGCATCGGAAGAGGACCTCGTTGCGACTGTGGTGGTCGACTGCGGGTACGTCGATCGAAACGGATCCGAACGGGACACGCCCCGTCGCCCTCGGCCCTGATTGCCGGGCGGATAATGATTCTCGCGATTTTCGGCCGGCGACTCGACGGCGGGAAACGTGCGCGCGAGCCGGAGAATTGCGGAGAACTTGGATCCAACGGCGAGCTTGACTCCGGAGTAGCGTACTTCCGGCCTGTCCGTGTGCTCGCGGATCTTACGACACGCATCCGGCGATTTGAAAACGTGGCGCCACGTTCCTCGCAGTCCCCCCCCCCCCCCAGCGGGGACTCGTCGTAAATCTCTTCAAGAGTCTTAATTTTTAGGAACGCTTGCCTGACAAGGACCTAGACCCTCGATCGAAACGTCGCACTGTGTACTTTTTTATTTTTATTTTTATTTTTATTTTTATTTTTATTTTTCATTTATTCAACACGTGCCATCTCTAAAGTCCACTGAACTTATCCATTCTTATTTATTACTGGCTACCTAAAGAGACTATCATGTTTATTGTTGTTATAGGGTGAGCATTCTTGGATATTTTCGTCCGCAATCCATTTTTTTTCCATTTACATCGTACAAATTGTGCTTACGAGCAGAGAGAAGCCTGAGAGATGTCACGGCCCCGTTTTTCGTGATTGGCTAGAGACCCTTTAATAAGAGTCTGGCCAAGAGAGATCTGATTTTGGAGTGTTTTGATTGGTCCGACATTTTTTCTCTAATCTAAGAGGGGGTAGCTTCAGCGCAAGCGTATGATTATGAGACACTAACCTCAGAAACACTGGTAAAACATCAATTCGAATGATATTCGAATATTATTCGTGCAAATTGCATTCTTTTAAAAACCATATTTGCTTTTATATATTTATTAATAACATTATTTTTTAATATTTAATGTACAATGAACGTACGTGTAAATGGTAGCGAAAGACAAGTACAGGATAAAAAGTTTTACCATTCGATGATCAAAGAGAAAATTAAATAAATAAAATTTTCAAAATTTGTGTTATTTTATTGCACCTACATTGCCATCGATTTGCTGTGTAATATAAATTTGCTGTAACGTAAATGTCGTAATACTAACATTTATTTTATTGCACTAGGTACGCATTGCCATCGAGTTGCTGTTGTAATATAATACTATAAATGTTTATTTTATTGCACTACCCAGTGAGAAATGATAATGGAATCGATGTCGAATCGACGTCAATTTGATATCGAAATTATCAAATTGACATCATTTCGATGTCGATTCGATATCGATTCCATTATCATTTCTCATTGGGTATGCATTGCCATCGATTTGCTGTCGTAATATTTACGTTTAATAATCTTCTTTTTGTTTGCTATCCTCATTCTATAAATTGCATATCTATTTGCTATTTTTCGATGTAAATTATGGCAGGACAAAATATGACTGTTGCTTACAATATTTAAAAATTTATCAACTAAAATGTTTTTATAGTCGCTATTGTTATTGGACGTAGATTTTTGATGCTCCCTAAATATATACTCCATTTTTTTAAATAATTCAAAACTTTCATTGTTTACATAAAAAAGAGTATTGTTTTTATAACTTCGCAATCGAACTAATCTCGCATGTTGTGACAAATTTTGATGTGTGGAACCTACACTTTGAATGCAAAGCTGACATAGTTTAGTATTTCTTTTAATGCTTGTTACAATGTATCCTGCAATACTATATAAAATATTACTTTCTATAGAGTTCAATTCTTTTATAGAGTTCAATTCTTTCTGAGTTGCAGGCTCGTACGACAGATCAGCATTTGACTCATTACAAAACTGATTGTTAGGTTTATGTTCGCCAATTACATCTAATAAACCTGTTACATATTGCGCATCGTCTTCTTCGTAATTACCTCGAGAAACTGAACGCATATACAAAGAAATAGTAATTAATTTAAGATTATTCTTAAACTGTAAAGCATTTAATGTAACATTTTTGGTTCGAAGAACAGAAAAAAGATTCTCTACGCAGTCCTGCGTAAGTCTACCTGTCAATAAGAATTGAAACTTCCTTTCACGAAAGAGATAATCCGCCAATTCTAAAATAGATTTAGTTGAAATAATTACTCCCTTCTGAACAGGTTTAAAACCTCCTTTGTTACCAACATGAAGATTACTAAATATCTCTATAACTTCATTTAAAAAAGAAACAGTATCTTTATATTTTGCCAAGTCTTTTGTACCCAAAGAAATGTTGCAGTGCCTTGAAGTCATAACCGTATACCATTTTACTATTATTTTGACAAAAAATGCTGTAGTAATGTATTCTGGTGTTGAATCTTCATCGGCTAAAAATTCCAAAGCAGTACTCACTTCATGACTCAACAAATTTTTTGCTTTATTGACACGCATTTTAGCAAAATTATTATTCGTATCGACATCGCTTATACTTAATTTTGGCGTTAATAAAAATTGAAATTCTTTTTGCGCTAAAATTAATTCTTCGAAGTGTTTTGCCCGTATTATATTTGTTGGCAAATTATATTTATGTACAATATTTGTAGGTAGTATGATGAACTTATTATTTAGAATACATGCTTTCAAATTTTTTAGTAGATGGGGTACATCCGCGATAACATACAAATTACGATTACTGTCACATGGATGTGTGATGTAAGTAACAATTCTGGCATATCTTCCCGCTGTTATCCCCAATGTTTTCCACAAAGCCTGATTGCCAGATCCCATATCGGAAGTAATCGAATTTACGGTGAGACCAATTGATTTGGCTCTGTGAAGTATGTCAAATATTATTGGTTGTAATACAGCGCCGTTAAACCCATCACTCGTAAAATAGTATCCGATAATTTGTTTCCAACGACATGCAATACCGCATAACATAAATACCATTGCGTGTGATGCTATACCTGTGTGTCCTGGCAAAGTTACATTACCAATGTAACTTTCGGAGGAATTATCGAAAATATTCCCTGATGAAATACTGATTTCATCGAATACTAGACAACATTCTTTATCAATTTCATTCCAATTCGATACCTTCAATTTTAAAAATTTGAAAATATCGTCTGAAATTCCGCTTTTAAATTTAAAATTTTCCACTTTTCTTCTCAATGTTCGAAGTCCTGGCAAAGGAAATTTCTGACGACGGAGTTCTTCATAACCAGTGATGCCACAAGCAAATCTTAATCGAAGTGCTTTCATAATCGTTTCGTTGGTCCACTTCTGTACTCTTCTATTGTTTTTTAAAGCTGTAATTTGATCGTTAGTGAAGATTTCTTGTAGCTTGCTTAACAAAGCTGAATTAATATTTTGTTGTTTTTTCAATTTTAGTGCCTTGAAGTCACGTCGTGTAATAAGCACGCATTTTTTATATTTTGCTAGTTTGACATTCTGATTTTTAATTATACGTGCTTGCCCACATATTATTTGTTTCTGTTTTTTTATTGTACGTAATATATTTTTAAGTTTACTATCGTATGTTTTACGTTCAGCACTTTCCAATTGTAGTTCATCCTTATCATTGCAATCATTACTTTCTTTTTCATTTTGGGCTTTTTCACTTTGCACTGACAAATCATTCGTAACACAATCCACGTCATCATTAAATGAAGCATGGATGTTTTCATGGTAACTTTTCTGAAATAAAATATTTAAAATTTACCATTACTAATTTACAATTTTTAAATAAATTTATAATGCTTTGCTAAATTCGCAATTGCTTTTGTTGTATTTTAATTTTTAGAACTTACGATCATCTTTGCTTCGCTTCCGAATATTGTCGGCACAGCATTACCTTTCAGCTTTCTTTTTCCGTCAGTTCGTTTATTTTCCCACATATCGTATGAGAAATGTACCTGCAATAATAAATAGTGAACAAAAATATTGAATATGATAAATTTAAGATATAAAAATTATGAACTTAAGGCGTAAACAGTTGATTAGTATTAATAACCTGCTATAATTTTGTAATAATGTTTAAGCATAAGTTGTTTATACATATGTCCATTTGGGCGAAAAAAGATTCCTACACATAATTGTATAAATAATTCTGAACATACTTCACACAGAAATGACCTATCTGTAGGTGTCCAGCCTTCTCTGCCAACATTTGCTGCCCATTGAGCACGCCGAGTCGGATCTCGGGGGAAAATTTTCATAACAAATCCTTTTTTGTCGGAATTTGTACAGCCAGGAGCTGTACAACCAGTCATATTGTATCATGAAATATTCAATAATTAAATATATTATATATAGGCAATAATAAATCTGTAAAAAATAACATTTATTATCAGATAAACTATTAGTTGTAACGCATACTGAATTTATAATTAATTTTACGTCAAGTTTTGGTTACAGATGATTCTTGGTTACAATGTTACAGTAAGTTTAACATGGACTACGTTTTCACGCACTGTTTTAGTAACAACCGTAGTTGTGAACTGATCCCCAGTGAGAAATGATTCGTCGATCGACATCGAAACGACGTCGAATCGACATCGACACCGTCGAATTGACGTCGATTCGACATCATTTCGACGTCGATCGACGAATCATTTCTCACTGGGTCTTGCATCCGATTAGTGTTTCATTTCAAATCTAAAAATATACTTTAATTAAATACAAGAGTTCTACTAACTGCGGTTGTTATTAAACCCGTGTAAGCAGTGCTTGTAAACGTAGTTTAAAAGTAAGGTTAGCTTAAAAGTAAGGTTATATTAATTAATTCAATTAAAAAAGATTTTATTATAGTGTGATATTAAAAGTACTTACCTAATAATCTTAATATAAAAATTCTCTTGAAAATATTTTATTCTTGAGAATATTTTTTGCTCTTATTTTCTTTTCGATCACAGTACGCACAGTACGACTTGCTGAGAAAAGCTGATGCAACCAGTGATGCAACTGATACTTGACGATATCACGTGATATTTCTACGTCATTAGAGAAAAAATGGCGGACCAATCACAATGCTTCAAATCAAGATACTGATAATGAGTGCGTTCCGGCAAGACACTGCTACCGTAGCGCTACAGCTTTTTCGCTACAATTGTAGCGGTGCCATATATACATTAGCGTGCATAACCTCAAAATTGAATTATAAGAGTCGCGTTTATCTCGTTTACAAAATTAATTGAAACGAATAGAATGGAAAATATTGAAGATTGGCTCATGAATGACATATTGTTCGATGATTCATCAGATGAAAGCAACGTTAAAGAGGAAGAAGTTCCGCTACAGTTGTAGCGGTACGTTTTGCCGAAACGTACTCGTGTAGCGCTATCGTAGCGCTACCGTAGCGCTACGGTAGCAGTGTCTTGCCGGAACGCACTCATTATGTGTGATGGCCAGACTCTTATTAAAGGGTCTCTATGATTGGCGAATGCGATACGCCCTCTGTGGACATTGAAAACGTGGACATTGAACTACGTAGCCAATATCCACATTTTGCCAAGTGGGTAACGCAGATTTGCGAAATTTTGGTTGCGTTTCGTGCTATAGTCAGGTCCTGTGCGATGCTCTTGTACTTAAGATTATTTTAAGTACAAGATCATTGCATGGGATCTAACCATAGCGCGGGACGGGGCTAAAATTGTGCAAATCTGCGTTACCCACTTAGCAAAATGTGGAT